CGGCATCGTCCGACGTTATCTTTAGCAGGGCTATCTCCGGACGGGACGTCCTACGGCTGCGTTTTCTACTACCAAGGCATGCCGGAGCCTACAGCCCGTACCGCAGACCACGACGTATACCTAACCACAGTTCGTCTAGATAGGTCCGACCCTCCGGAGCCATTAAGACTTAATGTGACGCCCTGCAAAGACGAAAGGAGAAACACTCTAGAGCTCTCGATGCCGTGTAGTACGAGTAGCTTAGACATAGCAACGAGGGTTCTAGACGACATCATCGCCCGCCTATTAGAGCTAAATATTGCCTCGTAGCAGCCATCGGCGAGGGCGAGCCGTGACTATATCCTCATGGCTCTCGAATCTGCCTCATCGAATCTTAGTTGTGATTTATAGATTTATAATTCCCTTGCTAATATCTAATCCATAAAATACATACCCGAGCGATGAATTATTGGTGTATAATCAAAGTCTTTAGGGCACCACCATACATCCATGGAAATGTGTACGAGGCTCCGAGCACGTTCTAGCCACCTCTTTACGGATTCTCGATGCGCATCGTAGGCCCTAGTCAAGTCCCTCCGGCTGCTCTCGGCTTCTCCTCCGCATAAAAGCAAGGGGGAAAAGTGACGTGTGAAGTGCAAAGGGTACGTATCCTGATTGCAACACGGATGGTGAGAGGTCAGTAAAGACATACGACCAATTGCGCAGTTTCCGGAAGTTATAGGCGAAAAATGCCTCCCGAGCTCATAACTGTCACACAACAAGAGGCACGGACAGGATAGATGACTGAGAAACGATCGGCCAGAAAATCCCCTATAAATCGGGCAACGAAAGACTCTTAATTCTCTATCAAAGTAATAGTAAGAAGTTAGCGTCTTATTTAGCCGAAGACTGTCTCTATATTAATCTATAAGTTTTCCGAATAGGAAGGGCTCGGTTTAAACGAGTATAAAGACTAGCTAAGAGTTTACTACCTCCTTAAGTTAGTATTCTAAGCTAAACGTTATTTCTTTAATTCCTAATTATACGATATCTTATAACCTAATTAAAATATAATAATATAAGAAATAAATAATATAAGAAATAATAAGCGTTTCTTACTCTATAAGATAAGATTTATTCTATAGTTAATATACTACTATTAGCTTATATAATAAGAAGAGTATATTATAGCTACTTTATTTATAGTAGGAAAACCCCTTTACTTATATTATCTAAGTAATATTACTATAAGATAAGTAAGCTTATTAATAAAGTACTATCTTTCGGGACTTTTAGGTCTACCTAGCGTTTTATATATTAGATCTCTATACTATATTATAAGGCTTTAATTCTCTTAATTATCTTATTCTTACTTTTTACTACCTATATATAAAAAGTTAAGGATCTACTTATAAGTATTATCTAGGTTTATCTCTTAATATAAGTCTATCTTAGTTCTTAGGTTAAAACTATACTAAATACTTACTTAATTAATATAAATCTCTATAAAAGGCTATAGGTTAATTATAATTATACTATTACTAATAATATAGGCTATAGAAAGGTACTACGCTAAAGCTAGGCTAAGATATAACTATTATTTTAGAAGTTCTAATTTAATATATTAATATATTAACTTACTATACTTATTTATAAAGTAATACTAGATTGTTAAAGAATTAGCTACTACTAGCTTTTTATATATAATAAAAGCCTCTTAGATTAGCTATTAATATAGTCTAATAAATATAATATTCTTACTATTAGCTAATAAGTTATTATTTTTCTTTAAGTCTCTATATTAAATAGAGTTCCTAATAACTAATAATACCTATATTTCTTTTAAAGAATAGGTATATAAGTAGACATTTTAATTAAATAAAGGGATTTAAGAGAATAATAAAAGGTTAATTCTAAGGTTATAAAATAATTTTAAATAAGCTTCCTAGTAACTATTTAACGCTATTCTATTATAAGAGAGGGCTAAGCTTTAATATAAAAAGATTATTTAAACGGAGTAATAAATAAATAAATATATATATATATATATATAAGATATATTAAAAGGAGCGCTTATAGGATAAAAACTATAGTATAAGAAATAGACTATCTTAGCGGAAAATAATAAGATCGTAAAGGTCGGATTAGCTATAGGCGGGAATATATAAAGATAGGATGCCTAGTAGGGGGATAGCGGCTAAAGATAAGGGAGGCGACGGGAGAGAAAGGGGAGGAGAGACGTCTAGAGTATAAGAAAACGGGGAGGATAACTTGAGGTCGGTCTATTTATACGGCTCTTGGAGGGCGGGGCCCGGAGAGGGCGCCTTACCCGATCGGGGATACTACCAAACGCGGCGGGGACAATAGCGTGTCCTAGACTATACAGTGATAGCTCTATTAGAGACGTTCGTGGCCATAATACTCTGCAATTTTGGAAATTATACGCTCTGCTTCGGCCTGCGGAGCGTAAGAAATGATTGCTAATCTGGCGGCAAAAAGACCACATCAAGTGCCCTGGTGCTGTTAATCGAGGCCCTGCTTGCGTGGTGAGAGGGGCCGTATTAATAGACAGCCGCCGAGAAGACAACACCAAACCACCTACGTATGTATATACAGATCCCAGCTCGACATCATATCCCTGCAAAACATTGACTCAGGGCACAAGATGAGGTCTCGACGCTGCTTCCGACCGGCAAGCATGCCTTGGCGGCGCCGTACGGCGCACAATGGTCGAAAATGAGATGAGTTCGGGGTGGGCCATGGACTGGAATGGGTGACACTGGGCAACGCATTCCTCGCGAGATTGCACAGAGGCCGTTGCAATAAGCTTGGGCCGGCGACATGATGAGAGATGTTTACGACAAGGAAATGATCAAGACCTGTCATCCTCGATGGGTTGCTTGGACGGCACACATCTATGAGCCCTTTCGCAACTCGTCGCAGCTGCCCGGCCACGACGACAACGACGACGACGACGACGACGACGACGAAGACGGCGGCGGCGCTGCACCATGACGGACCCGAATATCCTGGCGAGAGAGGAGCCGAGAGGGCTGGGGCTGGGATGGCTGCTGGCGATTGCGCTCGGGGGCGGTGCCTTGCTGTTCATGGCCATCGGGCTTCTGCTGGCGTGGCGCATCAACCATCGTCGCCAGCCGTGCCGGACGACGGTCTATGCCCGGTCCGTCGACGAAATGCGTGGCCTGTCGTCTCGTCTGACCAAGCGGCGCCTCGTGGAGTCGACGAGTGCTCTGCCGACGGCCTTTTCCAGCCGCCGCTCCCTCGCCATGCCGCCTGTGCTGCCGCCCCTGCCCACCTACAACAGCTTCAACTTCTTCCGCGCGCCGAGCAACAGGAGGCCGCATTCGCAGGTCTGGGTCGACGACGACGACGGCCAGGCGCCCAAGCCGCGCAAGAGCCTGCGGGAAAAACGCTTCAGCAGAGATGGCTGGTTCGGCCGCGTGCGCACGCTGCCCAACCTCGTCACCGCGGAACAGGGCGAGGCGGTTGAGATGCAGCCGCAGGGGGGACATGCTCATCGCCACCAGTCCCAGCCGATGCCGCCGCCTCCGGCGCCGCCGCTGCCGACGATGATGCAGGACATGGACATGCAGAAGCGGCATCCTCCCAGGACGCAGTCGGATCCGGCGCTGACCAAGGCCGTGCTGCAGCCGAGGCCGGAGGATGACGTGCCGCCTCCGCCGCCGCTGCGGGATAGGGCGAGAGTGGTGCCCGTGCATGCGAACTCGTGGCTGGTGGTGGCGACGGATACGGACTTGCGAGATATTCTGCGGTCGACGGATGAGCGGCTCCGGGAACGATCGCGCGGGCCTTCGCCTGCCATGACGCCGTGGTCGTCGCCGACCAAGACGCCGCGGAGCTGCCGCACGGCATCTTCCCGGGCCGGCCGCTCGACGCCGAGCCCGACCAAGCGAGGCGGCGTGATGAGCACTTCCTCGACAACGACGCCGACGCCGACGACTGGCCAGGCGATGCTGGGCCGCGACGCCTCGGCTGCCTCGGTCGATAGTGCGGCCGACAGCCTCATCGCCGAGGCCACGCAGGAGCTTGAGCTGCCGGGGGGGCTGTCGAGCCCCAGCAGGCTACGGGGCCAGGAGTGGGAGCAGCCGCGGGGAGAAGATGAGTGGCAGAGCCAGCTGAGCCCGAAGCGCAGCCCGCAGCGCAGCCCGCAGCGAAGCCCGCATCGAAGCCCGGAGAGGCCGCGGTCGAGGGACAGCGATGCTTCGAGCTCGCTGTCGACGCTGTACAGCGTGGGCGAGCCAGAGGAGGGAAAGGACCAGCAGTCGCAACAACAACAACAACAACAACAGCAACAAAAACAACAACACCAAGAAGGAGGGGAGACCGGCTCCCAGGAAGCAGCACCAGCGCAGCCCAGTTGGCAGGACCCCTTTGTGGGCAACGGGCCGTATCAGGCGCCTAGCTGGCAGTCCAAGCCGCAGCTGTCGGGCCCGCGGCCGCTGCGGCGCATCAAGACCATCAGCCCGCGCAGCATGGAGAAGAGGATGCAGACTTCGCCGGCGGCGGGCGCCAAGCCCCTGAGGCCGATATCTGCAAACTCGCTGCACGCGCTGTACCGCGACGGCGAGAGGGCGACGACGAGCGGTCGGCGATGGCCGGTGCTGCCGCCGCCGCCGTCGGACACCAAGCCCCGGCAGGCTTCGTCGTCGTCGTCGTCGTCGGAAACAACATCAGACGAGGGGGGGATCTGCTCCAAGGACGATGAGGCGGCTCGGCGCAAGCTGCAGCGGCGATCCGGCATGACTGGCGCGGCGTCCGAGTCGAGCTTCACGACCGACTCGGTGCACAGCGCATCTGACTCGGGCGACGACTCGGACGTGACGCAGAAGCCCACGTGCGAGACGCCGCGGCGCGAGTGGCTCCACGGCGACGACAGGCGGCGGTCGCCGACGGCGAGCCCCGTGACGCCGCCCAAGCGGCACAGCGCGGCGTCGTCGGCAGCGTCGTCGTCACCCTACAACGAGCACGACATCCTGTCCATGCTGCTGTGCACGTCGTCGCCGCGGCGGGCCCTGCCGCGTCCGCCGACGACGGTGACGGCGCCGGACGGGTCCATAGTCGCGACGCCCTTGTCGCCGCGGCCCAGGGACAATAGCAGCAGCAACAAGGCCAGAATGCCGAGCCCGTGTTCCGTGGAGCGCAAGCTGTCCGCGTCGAGCTCGTCGTACTCGATGGCGCCGTCGGTGTCGGTCGCGGGGGGCTCGCCGTCGAGGTGTCCGACATCGCGCTCTGCGCGCGAGCAGCAGTATCCGCAAACGCTGGGCAACACCATCGCCGAGCTGCGCCGGATGAACAGCATGGTGAGCTCGTACAGCGCCGCGTCTGTTGCGTCGACGGCCGTGGGCGGCGGCGTCGACATGGCCGACTCGCCGACGCTGCCCAGCCTCTTCAGCGGCGGCGTGGCGGCGGCGGCGGCGGCGGCCATGTCTCAGGCGCAGGGGCGGCCGATGCCGCGACCCAGCGCCATCGGGAGCCGGCACTACCTCAACATCGGCAACAGCCCGCCCAAGCACCGGCCCCACCACCACCGCAAGTCCGCCTCGGCCGACGGCCGCTCCGCCGCCACCGCCGCCGCCCGCCCCAGCAGCGATCGGGACCGGCTCCTGCTGCAGCACCAGCAGCGCCGGGACAGCCTCGGCAAGGAGCAGCAGCACGGCAAGGAGAACCAAGGCCTCGAGGTGCTCAAGGCGCCGCGGGTCGACGGGGGCCCGCCTCCGGTGCCGGGCCTGAAGAACCCCCGTCGCAGCGCGAACCGCGAGATGCGGGTCCCGCTGCCGGGCTCGTGCACCGTGCCGCTGTCGCCAGCCACCGTCTCCGCCTCTGCCGCCCCTGCCGCCCCCGCCGCCCCCGCCGGCATCAGGCAGAAGCTCGTCCCCGGGCCGGTTAAGAACCTGGCCGTCGCGTTTGAGAAGCGCATCGCCGACGGCCGCCAAGGCCGCGTCGATGGCCTCGGCCGCCGCGAGCGGGACGGCTCCCCTGCCACGCTCTCGTCTGACGGAGAGTCTCGGAAGCGGTGCCCGAGGATGTGAGCATCCCCGACAGGCTGGGCTGGAGGAAGAAGAGGACGACGACGACGACAACAGCCGATATAGCACAGACGTGCAGTGCCAAGCACATCCTCTCCAGTAACCTTTCCTTTCTATAAACACCCCCCCTTTCTTCTTCCTTCCTACTCTTCTTCGCAACCCCTATTTCTCTTTTAAACTTTTGAAAAGAAATCTTCTTCATTACACATAGAATATTGGCGATGCATTTGACGTCTCGGGAGTAGAAACCCCGCGGCTCGGATTCGGTTCATAGTAGCATCTATGATGTCGAGGCCTTAAAAATTAATGACTCCTGTCGAGGAGGTTTAGTGTTTATTACTCTGTCGCGAACGCCATAAGACTTTTCCGCACCTAAGCACCGAGCCCTGGTATTCTCGTTTGCCCTATTTGTCCTTGTCCTGTCCTGAAACGCCGCGCGCCCTTGCGTCGGCCTCGTGTCGAGGCTCGGTCACGTTCTTCGTTTTCTATTCGTCGACTCGTGGCCGCTTCATGTCTTGATCCTCGTTTGCGCCGTCGTAGCCGTTGGCGCCGTCCGGCTCCAGCTCGTCGCGAGGGCGGGTTCTACCAGCGCCCTCACCCAGCTCGCCGTCGGCGCCGTCCTGGGCCTCTCCGTCACGGCCGAGCCAGTTGCCGTCGCCGTCAAAGAACTCGTGCACATTGTCCGCAGTGATCCATCCCCCGCTGCCGGGCATCGGCGGCGGCAAGCCCCCGTTCGATGAGCCGCGCAAGACCCCCGCGAAACCCTCCAGCGCCTCGTGCTCAGCGCCACCCTCGAAGACGATGCCATCGTACTCACCATCGTCGTCATCTGCGTCGTCGGGGTCGGGATGCAGGTCGGAACAGTTGGACACGGCGTCGTACAGCTGCTGCGCAGCGGTGCGCATCGCATTGCCCTCGGGGCTCGAGGGAACAATGGTCAGCTCGACGGTGCTGAAGTCGTCGTCGTTTGCGCCGCCGTCGGAGAACTCGAGCTGCATCCAGACTGCCTGGATGCGGCTGCCCTCGGCCTCGCCGGCGACGTGTTTGACTGCGTGGATCGAGATGGAGGGATACGGGATCGAAACCCCAGCCTCGGCTTGCTGGCTGAAGACGGTAAAGCTCCTGTCATTCTGGTCAGCCATGCGGCTGTCCCTGATTGCCGTGGCTGCTTACTCTGAGTTGACAAAGACATCGACCTTTTGCTTCACAGGCTGCTCTTCGTCGGCTTGCCCGTTGGCCTGGGCGTCCTCGTCGGCTGCAGGCACCATGTCTGCCGGGAACAGGGCCAAGCGGCCACACTGCGACTTTGGGACCGAAGCCGTCGCGCCTTGGAGGTGGAAGTGCAGCACGGGCTTGCCGTCGGCAAAGGACTCGGGCGTCTGCGACTGGTACTCGGCAAGAGGCACATAGTCCTCCACCGAGGGGGGCGCGCGGATGGTCGTGGCGAGCATGGCGGGGATTCTACCGCAGCCGTTTGGCTGGCGAAGTCGGCGCGAGGCTTTTGTTGTTTCGTAGAAAGGCGATGCCTCGTAGCTTGAAGCGTGAACCGCGCTGCCAGTGAGGGGCAGGGCGAGAAAATGTTAGGCCTATCAGCCTATCGATACGAGCAGCTGCTTATCGCTCTAACGTCCCCGATTCCTCATCCCCGATTCCCCATCTCTCTTCTCGACACGTTTCGACGCGGCGTCTTGCATCCCGGACCATTACAGCGAACGACCGCTCTTTCTGAGTGCGACAAGCGCCCCTTACGCCGGGCCAAACGCATCTAGCCCAAGCCACCTCGCGCGACTGCATGGCCAGCGTGGATCTAGCGGCCACCAAAGCATGTACAGCAACCGTGAGCCTCCAATGCCTACGATGCCCGCTGCGGCACAGCTGACCCAGCCACCTCAAGGCCCCCATCCCCTGCTAGAGCAGGTCCCCCTCACCGTCTCGCCCTTTGTCTCTCTCCCCACCGCCACCACGCTCTCCTACAACTACAAGACGATGCCGTCCAATATCCCGCCGTCCTCGCTCGGCATCCCGACGGCGGCCGACAACGGCTCCTCGGAGCAGCCCAAGCCCCGGTTTGTCGTCTCCGGCTCCGGGCACGCGGCCTCGCCAGACGAGATCCTCGAGTCGTGCCACGCGCTGCTCAATCACGTGACGGACCTGCAAAAGGACGCCGAGCGGGAACTACGCGAGTTCGAGGACCGCATCAAGGAGCGGGAGCTGGCCGAGAAGCGGAGAGTGGCGCCTGGATGGCTTGACAGCGATGCGCGGCTGCTGGAGCCTGAACGTGCTCCGTCGGCACAACAGCCTGGCCCGAGCTCGGTGCCGCAAGGGCGGGGGGAAGCCAGGGCGGAGACGCAAGCGGATCATGATCAGGGTGCCGAGTTGGATCGAGCATTCGGGGGCATGGCGCTCAAGTAGCGTTGCAGAAGGATTGATGAGTTACGAATTAAGAACACTATAGTACCAAAGCAGATGACATCCGACCAAGACGAGCATGCCGACGGCCCTGGATGACATGGAAAGAAAGGCTTTTCGACATATTATCAGAGCATGGCGGCCGCAAACAAGACGGCAAATGTCGCGACCAGAGGGACGAACGCGACCGCATGTGAGCTCCGAGCGTCGTTGCTTGCGCTGGAGGAACGGGCGGTCTTGAGGGGCCATGTCAGTGGAGGTCCGGGGCGCGAGCGTGGCGGATGACTTACGGTGCTTGCGTTGGCCCGGGTGCCACCGATGACGGATGTAGAGGTGGCTGAGACAACAGCGCTGTTCGCAGACGAAACAAGACTGCTGAGGCCAGTCGAGGCTGGGCTAACCACGGCGGCGGTGCTCTCCTGACTGGCAGACGTGGGCCGGACATGGGTAGTAGACGTGGGCGGGACTGCGACAGACGAGGGAGCAGCGCTGGACGGCTGCTCACCGCCGGCAGAAGTGGGCGGGGCCTTGAGACCGCAGGGCGCGAGAGCCTCTTGGAGCTTGTCGTGGTAATCCTCGGCAATGTTATCGTATTTGGGAGCACACTCGTCACATTTCTTCTGAAGCTCCCCCCAGGCGTTATCCTTGCAGTGGCCCTCCTTGCTGGCCCCAAGGATGGTGTTCCCTGACTCGCATCAGCTCCAGGACGACGAACCCGCCAGAGACGACGCAGCAGAGAAGATACCGCAGGTCTTGTGGCATATTATGGCCTCGGGGCTCCGATCACGCGCACGCTTGGCGAGGACGGCAGCATCTTGGAACGGCAGCAGGCTGGGGGAGGCGGTGGCGACGGCGACCGAGACCAGAGAAGCAGCAACGGCAACGAGGGTGGAGAAGTGCATCGCGGCGAGCAAGAATCTTGAGGATGAACGACGGGTAAAGACTTTGCGAGAAGCGTGCATGTACTGGGTATTCAAACAAGGGTCGCTTGAGACTACAAGAGGGCGGCGCGAGGGGCTAGTGGGGGAGGGGATGCTGCTTTTAAGTACATGACCTGTGAAGATTTTGGTGTGCCCAGCCAGACCCCTGCTTCCGGCACAGGTCACCTGTTGATATCGAGACAGGTAGGTACTTTTGGTGTCGAGAAAGGCACTTGGCGTCGAGACAGCTACTTGATGTCGAGACAGGACCTCGGTGTCGAGACAGGTCCACCTCGTTCTGTTTTAAAAATGTGCAGACATACTATTAGGCTGCTGGTGTTCTGGGAACCACGCCATGCAAGCACCTTGCAGCGTGTCTGGCATGTGGAAGCCCAGATACAAGGAATCGGAAAAAGACTTGCAGCTGGACATTGACCGAGCTCGGCAGGTCGTTTGTGCCGGGCCTGCATGCGGTGGGGAGAAGGCGTGTAAGCCAGCCAATGGAAAGGGGCCGTCGCATCTGATTAGATTTAGACCGGGCTTATCAGATGATCTGATAAATTAATGCCTCGGACTGGTGCTCTTTGGGTCTAGTGTCGGCGGAATTGCAACTGGACAAGAGTGCAGCCACGCTTGTTGTGTGGTGAAGAGGATGGATGATGGCCGGAAGCAAGAGGCGTGGGCCCGCATCTCAGTGGCGAGAATCGGGCTGGTGTCACCAGCAGCCAGCTGGCTATTGGTTGTCGACCCCTCTTTCTCGTCTGCTTTCAGCCGAATCAACAGCCAGTCGCAAAGGCTGCCGGCAGTGACACAAGGTGAGGGGAATGTGCCGTTTCTGCTCGCTTCATTAATAAAGAGCCGGGGGGGACGGCTTGCGCGTCCAAGGAAAACAAGAGAATCGCGCGAGAACAAGGCCACGGTTTGTAGTCCAGCCTGAACATCCACATCTCGAAAAACAATGACACAGCTCCTCTCCAGAGTCTTGGTCGCACTGGCCGTGGGCATCACGACAGTCCCCGCGGTGGGCGCCCAGATGACCTCGGGAGACATGGGCCCCGCCGCCTTCATGTGGCCGCCGGACCGCGTCTGGTCGGCCGCTGCGGACAACACGGCCCCCTGCGGCTCCGTCGCCAGGGTCGGAAACAGGACTGGGTTCCCCCTGAGTGAGTTGTACAGACCATGGCTTCATGCTGCCGAGCATGGCTAAGCAACGAGGCCAGAGAACGGAAAGATTGCCCTGGTGGCCCAGGACGAGTCGTGGGATGCCGTCCTCAGCATCTCCTACCGGGCCGGTGAGCAGTCTCGTGTCCTTTGCGGCCGCACGCGTCCTAACATGCTGTGACACCAGACCCCAAAGCCAATACAGACTTTTCGACGCTTATAGATGCCAAGGCCTTTCGTGACATCGACCCGGGCCACACGTGCGTGCCGGTAGCGGATGCCCCGTCGTCGGTCAGAGCGGGGGCCAAGGCCACGCTGCAGATCAAATACAGCGCCGAGTTCGACAAGCCCGAGGTGGAGACGTTTTATGCCTGCGCCGACATCACCTATGTCGAGCCGGCGCGCTTCACCACGGCGATCCCGTGCTTCAACGCCACCGAGCCCAGTTCTGACCAAGACCTGGACGGCGGCAGCTCTCCGTCGTCGGACGTGTTCGCGGGCCCTTCGGAGGACAGGACCAGCCTGTCGGGCGGTGCCATTGCCGGCATCGTCGTCGGGTGTGTCGCCGGCGTTGTCGGGCTGGCCGTGGCGGCGCTGCTGGTCTACCGGAGGAAGCAGCAGCATCTGCACATGCTTCGCCGGCAGCGCTCGGCTCGTGGCGTCAAGTGGGAGGAGCAGTCTGGCCGGGACTCCAACTCGAACCCGAGCGTCAAGATGCAGAACCTGTCGTAGCGCCGTTATGGGGGAGAAGCCGGGTTTGTGTGATTTATTCAAGCTGCAAAGTATGTACCGTCTATGTTGATGCTATGGTCTGCTTGCCAAGGCTGCTGCGTCGTACAAATGCGGACGAGCTCCGGCGAAAGTGAAGCTGATGATGCCCCGACCGGTCCGGACAGCTCGACGTCTATATTTAGAAAACTGTTCAGACCCTCGCTCTCGACGCCATCGTGCATGCGCAGGGTAACTCGGCGTCGGCAGGATTTGTCTGACGAGGCTGCCTGGCCGCCTGCGATGGAGGCAAACAATTGTCAGGTTCGCAGACCAGGGCGCCAATGGCCGCCTTCCTCAGCCGCCCAATGCTACCCCTGCGTCGCGCGACCAACAGGCTCAGCAGGGACATGCGTGTCGACTGGGCGTCGAGGCCTGCGGTAGAACCCGTGCTGCGCCTCTGCGCGGGCGGTCGCAGCGACATGGCCCATCGAGGAGCCTCAGCCCCAACTCTCCCCCGAGTCTGCGTGAGGACGTGAGATGTGTTGGGTGGGGGGGGGACGGGGAAAGTCCCCAAGGCCGCCAAATGAGATTAGAGGAGCCCTGAATCTCTGGCCTCAGGCCTCGGCAGCCGGGACCCCAGCGACAGCCCGCTGTACCCGCTCCTACCCCCCCTGTCAGGGCCATTTTGGCAAACATGAACCTCGAAGCCCTCGCATCCGCCGTCTGCCTCGTCCTCAGGGAATCCCTATAAATACCCGTCTTGGCGCTTCAGCTCGCTTGCATGCACACCTCCTCTCGAGAGGCAAAGCTCGTCCGTCCGCCAGTCTGAGGAGACAATCACTGACCATGGACGTCTCCCTCAGCCCGACCGTCCTCGGCCAGCTCAACACGGCCGAGGCCAGGGCCCTTCACGAAGTCACGGACCGCCTCAGCTCGTGCGGCGTAGGCAGAATCGTCAACCTGCCCCAGATCATCGTCGTCGGCGAGCAGTCGGCCGGCAAGTCGTCGGTCCTGGAGGCCATCTCCCACGTGCGCTTCCCCGTCCAGGGCGGCCTCTGCACCCGCTTTGCCACCGAGCTTGTCCTCCGCCAGGCCAAGGAAACCCGTGTCGATGTCAGCGTCAAGTTTGCCGACCGCTCAAGGCCCTCAAAGACGTTCCAGAGGGCCGGCTTCAACCAGGCCGACCTCCCCGACATCATCCAGGAGGCCAAGGAGTCCATGGGTCTTGCTGGCACCGGCCGAGACTTCTCAAAGGATGTCTTGCGCCTCGAGATCGAGGGCCCAAGTATGTACCCCCTGACCCTCGTGGATCTTCCGGGCCTCTTCCAGGTCGACACGGCCGACCAGTCCATGCGCGGCAAGGAGACGGTTGATCAGCTCGTCGAGAGCTACATGAGCCAGAAGAACAGCATCATCCTGGTCGTCATCACCGCCAGCAATCAGCTGGCAAACCACATCGCCCTCCGCAAGGTCAAAGAGCACGATCCCCAGAGAGAGCGCACCATTGGCGTCATCAACAAGCCCGATCTCACCCGCCCCGGCTACATGGACGAGAGGACCTACATCCAGCTGGCCAGGAACCAAGAGAGCGCCAACAAGCTCAAGCTCGGGTGGCACGTCTTGCGTAACAGAGCAGAGGACGAGCCCAGCCTCGACTGCAGAGACGCCAACGAAGACAACTTCTTCCAGAACTCGGCCTGGGCCTCGATACCTCGAGAAGACCGTGGCGTCGTCAGTCTGCGCAGGAAACTCAGCCGCGTCTTGTACGACCACATTCGCAACAATCTGCACGGTGTTGTCCAGGACATTGAAGGGAAGCTCCGAGAGCGCCAGGAGGAACTGGATCGACTGGGCAACTCGAGATCCAGCCAGGAAGACATGCGGTCCTTCTTGCTCACCATCACGGGCGAATTCCAGCGCTTGGCGCGTGACGGCATTCATGGGCGCTACAACGACCCTTTCTTCGGAGACCTGGACGACCAAGACCACAAGCTGCGTGCACAGCTTCGCAACTTCAACCGCGTCTTCGACCACGTGCTGACGACCAAGGGGTCTAACAAACAAATCGGACGAGCCGTCGACGACAGCCAAGTCCCAGACTATCTTGAGACCTTTATGGAGCGCTATCCCTACAACTTCCCCAATCCCGAGACAATCACGCTTGAGGACATGAGCGCCCAGCTCCAGCAGCAGGCTGCTTCCAATCAAGGCCGGGAATTCCCGGGGTCCCCAAACCAAGAGCTGGTGATCCAGCTATTCCAGAAGCAGGCCTCACCTTGGAGGTCGATTGCCGAGTTTCACATCAACACGGTCACGCTTGCTGCCAAGGCATTTGTCGACCAGCTGTTCAGGCATGTCATTGGGCATCCCGACACGAGCAGGACGACCGAGGCCATCCTCAGCACATGCGTCGACCCCTTTTTCAGCGACAAGGAGAATGCGTTGCGAGGCAAGCTTGAGGAGCTGCTGCGACCCTACACCCAAGGCTACGCGCTCCCCTTGGATGCCGTCTTCCATCGGACCATGTCGCAGCGGTCCACCAGTCGTCTCGCCGATCACCTTGTCGAGGCATTTCGCGAAGAGCATCCCGACATGTTCGAGGACCAGAAATCCCGCAAGAAGCTCACGCGCACCTTGATATCCGAGGTCGTTTCCAATGCTGATGACATTGATGGAGGCGAGTTTGGCTCAGACAAAGTCATTGATATGATGGAAGCTTATTACGAAGTACGCCCTCACGTCTCTTCCACTTGAGAAAGCATCGGGATTTGCTGAATACTGGACGGTAGATGTCTCGACGGACCTTCACCGACAACATCATCAACCTCGCAATCGAGAGCTGTCTCGTCTGCGATATCCCCGACATTCTCACGCCGACAAAGGTGGATCGCATGTCCAGTGAGCGGCTGCGCGAGCTAGCTGCCGAGTCGGAAGACGCTCAATCGCGGAGGCGACACCTGCAGGACGAAATCGACGTCTTGCGTCAGGGTCTAGAGCAGTGTCGCCGATATAAACCGAGAGCAGTCACTGGTGAGTCTCGTGTTACCTTTATGAAAACACGTCGAGAACGTACATAAGCTGAAACGTAGGATCTAGTTCTCCCGACGGCGTGCCAGAGTCAGTACCCCGCTGCTTGTGTTTTTTTATTTTCACGAACAAAATACCCTCAATCCAGGCCTTTTCAGCAGTTAAGTTTGGTGGAGACTAACAAGCCTTTCCCCAGATCCCTCCGTAGCCACCCTCCCCACCCCTGCCTCGACCTCGGCCTCCAACAGCACGGCGACATCATCCAGCCAAGCCTCGCCACGACCACTATTCAGCCAGAAGTTGTTTGGACCCGGGGCCGACGGGCCAAAAAGTTCACCCGCGTCTCTTCCTAAATGGAAGCCATTTGTTTTCACTCCGTTCACGCCGAAACCTGCCAATGACTCGGAGCATTCCTCTACATCTTCGGGAACTCAGGCGACTTCGAACAATCATAACGGCAACTTGTTTGGGAGCCGCTACTCACCAGTGCCTGTGAGCAAGGGCTCTCAAAATGGGCTCGGAAAGACCCAGGGAGACTCTGGACGATCCGTGGTCGAGCCCGTGCATCCCATCAGCCTCTTTTCACCGCGTTAGGCTCCAACAACGCGTCATCTAGCGGCGAATGTCTCGGGAAAGTGGGTGGGGGTACGGATAAGCGAACCAAGCGCTAATTTCCTCGCCAGGCAGACCAGCCTTGGGGTAAAACGAGCTCCGGAGCGAACTCTTGACGGAGAAAGCATGGGCAGTAAGAAAGGCGCGTGGAAGTCAGACTCACCGACGAAAGACTGCATCTCTGCCAAGGAGACGCCATAGGCGGCGATTGATTTTCGATTATACGGGAGAAGAGTGGCTGTGGGACGGGAAACGATTTCTGGATCCAGTTGAACTACTTGCGAGATGTCGTGGGTTTGACCTTTCCCGCATGTATGGAAGAACGTCATCCAACATCTGCAACGAGGGATGCGGAAGCTGGCAAATAAGAACGGCGAAGTTGCGAGGGAGGTAAACCGACAATGTCCTGGCTGCGAACTGTTGAACAAGTGTACTTTGTGCAAGGCGTGAGACGATCGAGCATTCGATAGTTATTCAACCCCATCTGCCCCAGTCATTATGGGCGCTTCACGGGCTGGGACAGAGTTTAATCAAGTTGATTTGACCGAATCGATGGTCCAAGAAACTGGTATAAAGAAACGCCGCCCCCCCAGCCCTCTCCCTCAGTTTTTCGCCCGTCCCTCTTATCAATAAGAATCGCGAAGGAGTCAGTCTGAGGAGACAGGGCAAAGTACAACGTCCAGGCTTTCAACGGCATGTCCTGCGAGAAGTTCAAAACCCATCTTAGAGTTGCTGGCCGTAACAACTAGCATGACCACTCTCTCCAAGGGGCCACCGACATTAAACGTCGTCCAGGCACGCCGTGGCCGTGTTGCTTCACATATAACCGTCTGTTGAGATTGGCAAACATGATTCGAGCTTTTCAGTCCATGAACTCTGGACGACTTGGAGCGAGCATCTGGTCGGCGAGGGAGACGAGGTAGAGGCTGGGGAACGGGACCGGGGTCAGTTATTCGACGACGGATCTAGATGGTAGTCTCTAACCCCCTTGTTCCTCGACGTCCCTAGGCACTCAAGGGGACCGGACGCACAGGACAAACATGCCGAGGACCGTCTGGTGCGTCCAGACGGTGGTGATGGCCTCGACACGCTCGACGCCGCCCTGCTTTGCAGACCCGGGACAGCCGGTGTCCGAGGCGGTGCGGGATGCTAGATCATGGCAGACGCTGTGTTTCCCTGCTTGCGCGGCGAGGTTGTACAGTACAGTGTGGAATAAGTAGTCATGCTTGTGCGACGGGGGGCAAACAGTGATGCCGTGTAACCATATCGGACCGACAGCGTCCAGGTCCCAATGTGACTTGACGAGAGCGGGGGAAACTCTAGAAGCTTGATCAATGTACTTGTAGCTCGCGCAAGGTTTGATGAGACGAGGATGAGCTTCGCGGCGACATGGGCTTTGAGCTTGAAGAGACGAGCCTCGACGTTTGGCCCAACCGTGGGCGGGCCTCGCCGTGGTTGAACCGCCGTGGTTGAATATTTGTCACGCAGCGACGCAGTGAAACTTGCAAGAAATGGAAACCTTGCAGCTTGCATAAAATGGAGAGTGTCTTCAGCGGACAGAGAGCTCCTCCGCCATCGGAGCCAGATGGAAATTGAAAAACTGCTAGTATTGCTTGGCTGGCGCCGCTGACGGCGCCCGAGTCAGGCACCAGTAGCCTTATCCCCACCGTGACTATAGCACGAGGTGGACCCTGCTCGCTGCATTACTCCCCATAGTATCCACAGCCGCCGCTATAATTACAGCGCCCCTCTCCCGGTATGCACCGCGGAGCGACATCGGCGCCTCGTCCAGGTACCGACCTCCTCCACAGTATCGTCAACCTCATAATATCAACACACCGAACCTCGGCAAATTACACTCAAAACAGCCTGTGGAGCACACGCCGCCACAGAGGGAGACCTTTGATGTACTCCCGGTACGCATTCACCTCGTCCCAGTCCAGCTCGCGCCGGCCCGTGTCGACGTCGATTTCGTCGAGCCGCAGCCAGCCTGACCGCTTCCAGATGAAGCCCAGCAGCCAAAAGGCCAGCACAATCGGCAGCGCCAGGCACGCCTTGAAGAAGCCCTCGGCCGTGTTGAGGCCGTCGACGCCGACGGGTGCGATGGCGGTGAAGAACTAGAGCAAGCAATCAGCCTCAATCTCGTCTCCCTCCCTCGGTCGCGACACGTACCTGTGCCGCCATGACGATGAGGCACAGCCCCAGCGACACCCACGAGCCCCAGACCCCGAAGAGCGCCTTGAATGGTATCTCCTCCAGCGAGTGGCCGTTGTACGCCCACGCCTTGCGGAACCGGATGTGCGCCAGGCAGATGGCGCCCCACGAGAAGAGCACCGCGAGCCCGGACAGGGCCTGCAGCCACTCAAACACCAGGGGCCCCGTCGCGCTCAGGTTCACGTAGGCCAGAGGCCCCGTCATGATGAGCACAATGACGGAGAAGAGCGGCCGCCCGGACCGGTCAATGTAGGTAAACAGCTTCGGCGCATACCCCTGCTGCGCCAGCGCCGTCAGGGTCCGCGAGCCGCCAAAGACGCTCGACACGCCAATGGAGAGCACCGAGACGAGGATGACGCCGTTCATGAAGTGGTCGAGCCCCCTGAGGCCGGCATAGAGGCCAATGAGCACCCACGGCGACGCCTTGACGTCGGTAATGGCCTTGCTGGCCAGCAGCCGCGGGTCGTCGGCCGGCACCAGCAGTCCGATGAAGAACAATCCCAGGATATAGAAGACGAGGATCCGCCAGAAGACGCGCTTGACGGCGCCGGGCAGCGACTTGACGGGGTTCTTGGTCTCGGCCGCGGCCAGGCCCACGAGCTCGGTGCCCGTCAGCGAGAAGGCGGCCGTGACGAAGACGGAGCAGAAGCCGCGGAAGCCGTTGCGGAAGGCGCCGGGATCCGACCAATAGCGTGTGCCCCAGTATTCGTTGTATCTCCCGTTGCTGGGGCCGCCGCCGAGCACGAGGACGAGGGCGACAATCATAAACGTGGTAATCGCCGTGAGCTTGATGAGTGAGGCCCAGAACTCTTCCTCGGCAAAGCCGATGCCCCCGAAGATGTTGACGATGATGACGGCGACGAGGAAGATGGTGATCCACGCGGCCACGCTGGTCTGTTCGTCCCAGTATTGTATCACGAGCGAGCACACGGTTAACTCGAGCGGCAGGACGGTGAGCCATAGGAACAGGTAGTTCCAGCCGACGGCGAAGCCAAAAGACGGGTCGACGAAGCGGGTCGCGTAGGTGTAGAAGCCGCCGGAGATGGGATACATGATGGCGAGCTCGCCGAGAGCAAAGACTGCGTACGTCAGTTTCCCTAGCCGCTCGTCGGCGGAGGAAGAGATGGGGGACCTACCGATGTTGAAAACCATGAAGCCGACAATGGAGAAGCAGATGAGGATCGAGGCGGGGCCCTATGAGAATCGTCCGTCTCAGATCAGCCTCAATGACCTCACACACTGCCCATTGCCCCAACGGCAAGCTCGCATCAAGGCAGGCGAGAAACAACAAACTGGTGGCGACTTACACCCTTGCTCAGGGCACTGCCGGAGCCGACAAAAAAGCCAGCGCCAATGGAGCCTCCAATCGCAATCATGTGCAGGTGCCGCGTCTTGATGGACCGGTCGAGCTCGACGACGCCGCGGCCATAGTAGAGGGGCTTGAAGGAGCGGAGGGTGAGGCCACAGCGCGTCCAGGGATCCTCCTGCTCAAAGGCCGTGAGCACGGCGGGCTCCTCATGGACCTTTGTCTCGCCGGCGCTGACGCCGGGGGCGCGGGGGCTCGCGAGGCCCTTTTCGCCGGCCGAAGCCCCGGTGGCGACGGCGCTGTCGTGGTCGGACATGAAGAGGCTGGTCGGCGTGGGATCCGAGAGGATGGGTGTATGAGCAGAGAAGGGCGCAACGACGGTCCGTCAAAGGGACTCTCTAGTCTTGTGCACGGGAGCCAGATACCAACGACGAAGAAAGCAGCAAAGACGAGACCCCCCTCCTTCTGTCTCGTCGGAGGCGGGGAGGGGGGAGGGAGCGGCTCCCGCCACCTTATTTATTATTTACGCCTGCTTGTGGGTGGGCGAGAGTGGGATCGTACGTAGGCCAGACTACCTACTTTCGGGGGCTTGTAGCCACCGACCGTAATAACAAGAAAAAACCAAAATATGGAGAATAATAGTGATGGTAATAATAATGGGTAAAATAGTATGGGGATGGTGGCTAGCGTCAGGGGACCCTCTCATTCGTAGAGTTATGCAGCGAAACTGGGGTTATAGCAGGACCAGACGAGCTCGTGTGGAGTCAGTCATGCGAGGCCGTATCAAGTCTAACGCCGGACACGAGGCACCGGATTATGGCCTGATGCTGCTACCCGCTCCCCTTGGTGCGGATGGATGGACGGATGGATTGGAGAACCGAGTGACGAAAGGATTGGTGATGTCGCCAACGTCAGTGGAAGGGGTTTAAGTGACGGAGAGGGGGGAGAGGGGGACGGGCAACAGGCAAGAAAGAAGTGGATCGCTCGCTCTTCATATGATGGGCTTTCAAGGTAACTTTACGGAGCTTTGTGGTGACAAGGTTACGTGTAGACGGGGCAGCAAGGGGAGAGGGCGCACGAAGCGGCTTCGCGTTGAAGGAGGTGTCGAGATTAACGGGCACACCGAACAGACACTTGGTGCTTTCCACTTTGTATGTACAGTTGAAAAGAGGAAAGACGGAAGAACAGTCGAAGAAGAGACGCAGCTCGCCACAACCCGGCTCCACGTGGGGTTCGGCGTCGAAACTCGAGAGAGGGTCCCCTGTCATGGACCGGAAGACCTATACGGATGCACACACCGACATACGTAACACACACATACACACACACGCATCCATAAGACGGCGAATAAATAGGGGAAAGCACAAGACGAGGACGAATTCAAGTCCATGACTCACTGCCCAGCAAGTAACAATCTTGGGCCAGCCACTTGCAGCAGCGGCGACCGGGCGATCTAGAAAAGGCCCAACCTTAAAAACTACCACGGGCCATGAGCCCGCGAGGAAGAAAAAACGAAAGAAATCAAGGCACTCGAGCAAAGGTGGCAAGGTTTTTCTCGGCGGCGGGTCGCCGTTGCAGTTGCAGTCGTCGTGGCTTCACCGCGCAAGTACAATTATGTGTCCATGTACGAGAGACCGGAGACATTGGCGAGATGGAAAGGAGGCCCAAAAAAGTAGAACAATAGTAATAACAGGATGAAAGAGCAAAAATTCAGGGACCGAGTAGAACCGGGCGGGGGCGGGAGACTCGGCAAACCATGCGTTTGCTTTGGGAAATGCACCGCCGTCTTTTGGACCCTCTCGCTCAAGTTCCTCGTCGCATCTGCCACGCAAAAGCGGGCCTGGGAGGAGACAGGAACCGAGGAAAAGCATGCATGATGCACAGTCGATTCCCACACCCTCCGATGCCACCCCGACGTACATACATGAGCCCAGTCTTGGGGCCATGCATCGTGAGTGGGTTCGCGGCGACGACGGGGAAGCGTTGCGAGGCCGAGCGTGATAAGAGAGAGGCAGAAAGGTCGTGTGGAATCCCCGGCCTTCCAGTGCCCCTATCCAGCCCACTTGCTGTGTGTACACAATAGGCCGGCCTTGCATCGGGGAACTCGTCTTGGTTCGACCAGCATCGCTCCTCTCCACCCGACGGTTCTTTTGGATTTGGCCCAAGCCCGCTCGGCGGCTAGAGGATGGCCGAGTGAAAGGGACATTTACCACCGCCCGGGGCCCCGCGCATTGTCGAACCTTGTTTCGGACCCAATTCCATTGTTGGTCCCGTGCGTTATCGACGCCTCTCTTGGCGGGGGGCCATGACAGTGAGTGGCCAAGACGGGGGGCTTGGCCTCTTGACGCGAGAGCCGGATGGCTGCTGCCATGGCCCGTTGCCATCAACGTCCCATCTTCGTTGGCATTGTCCTATCCAGACACCGCCGCCGGTGGCCATGGCCGATCCGCGACAAGGGCCTGAGCCAGTCATTGCGCAGGCAGCTTCCCCCGGCAATAGATGCTCCGGGCGGCCTTTTGGACGGCCTCGGTGGCGATGCGGTACAGGGCCGGCCCGACGCTGATGCGCGCGACGCCCAGCTCCGCCAGCTCCGCCACCGTCGGCTCGCCGGGGTAGGCCGCCAGCTGGACGGCGACGCGGTCGTCGAGCTCCCGCACCAGTCGCTGCACGTGCGTCTTGCTCATGCGGCGCCGGGGCCCGCCCCAGTAGAAGACGGTGGCGGCGCCGGCCTCGAGGAAGGCCTTGCCGCGGGCGATGGCCTCGGCGAGGCGGGACCCGTCGTCGTCGGTGTCGTCGAGGCAGAAGACGTCGCACCGTGCGTTGAGGACAAAGTCGCGGCAGCCCGCGGCATCCGCGGCCGACACGGCACCCCGGAGCCGGCGGACCTGCTCGTCGAGGGGATACAGCGAGCCGGCGATGCCCTTTGCGAATCCAGCCTGGGGGATGCTGTCCTCGATGTTGGCACCCACGACGCCCGCCTCGACGGCCGCCCTCACCACCTCGTCTATGCGGTAGCCGTACCCGTCCTGGAGGTCAGCGCTCAGGGGCAGGCCGGCGTCGCGACACAGGGGCGCGATGCGGGCGATGGCGTCGCGGTTCAGCTCCCAGGTGAGATGCTCGTCGCGGACGCCCGCGGCGGCGGCAATGGCCCACGATGCCGTTGCCACGGCCTTGACAGGCTGGTCGGCGGCGTCGTGGTTGAGGGCGAGGATGGCCTGGAGGGAGGCCACGTCCCAGACGTTGGCGAGGATGAGGGGGGACTGGGGGACGTGGAGGGCCCGGAGCGTCTTGGCCGCGTCGTTGCTCATCTTGTCGAAACGTAGGGATGCGTCCAGGCTATCAAGGCGAGGAGGGATGGCGGCCAGAGGCGGGGTTTTCGGCGGCAGCAAGACACGTGCATCCTCACAGGCAGAGACATGGGAGCAAACTGTAGCCAAACCCAAGACCACGTACCTAATAAGCTAGAATTTGCCTGCAGTATCACAGAGGGACTTGTCCTTCTACCAGCCACCAAATAGTGACGAGATGCAGATGTGGATTTCCAATCGGGACCAACAAACACTTCACCAAGACATGGACCAACAATTCAGTAATTATTCGGGCTGTGTCGGAGTGGCTGATGGCCTGTAATCCTGCGCGCCCGTTGCGCCTCGGTAAAGGTGGCCAATAGGTGTCACCGGCCGGCCTTTTCTCAATCTCCGGTCCCTGCAGCGCCCCATAATCCCATAATACCAAAACACCGTGAAAACTCCGGGCCGAGCAGTCGTCAGCAGCGCCACCAAAGGGTCCGTCCTGAGTAGGGGTCTTGGTGGCGTCACTGCGGCCATCCGTTCATGATAAAATCACACGTGCATCCATTTTTCACCTCTGATCGCTTCGCTTCGCTTCCCTTGCGCTGTTTCCTCTTTCTTGCAACCCTCGTTCCACCTCCATCATTTCCTCTTGTCCACCATCTGTATGCTCCGCCGCAGAGCCACACCTGCACTCCCGTCCGCCTCCCCCATTGGCCGAATCCAACGCCGTCTCAGCCAGCACTGACGGTTCGCCCGGCCTCGTCGACTCGAGAGACGCTCCACCATGGTGGCCACCGAGGAGGCCTCGGCCACGTCCAAGATGGCCGGCTTTCTCTCGCGCATGAGCCCCGTCCCGGCCTTTCCCGAGTACACAGGCCCCTTCAAGGTCGGGACCGTCGACGTCGAGATACCCGTCGCCGACCTCGACGCCCCGAGCCCGCCGCCCCCGGCCGCTGCCGACATCCCCACCGTCCAGTTCCGCGTCTTTTACCCGGCGGTTCCCGAGTCGGACGGGAATCGCATCAGCTGGCTGCCCAATCCGCAGCGCCACCATGTGTCGGCCTACACCAAGTTCGTCGGCATTGGACCTACCTTGGCCGATTTTCTATCGTAAGGACGAGCCTGCTGGACACCGGTTGATCAGCACTGACCACTTCGTGGATAGCTTCTTCCCTCGTCACCTCTACTACACCTCGATCCCCGCATACAAAAATGCAAAGTTGCGGCAAGCAGACACGGCACACGGGCGCTGGCCGACCATGATCTTTTCCCACGGCCTCGGTGGCAGTCGCAACTCCTACTCCTACATAGCCGGCTCCCTCGCCTCCCACGGCGTCGTCGTCGTCTGCCCCGAGCACCGCGACGGGAGCGCCGTCATCTCCTTCATACGTCGCTCCAACGAACCCGATCGGTTCCTCGGACCCAACACCTGCCGAGTCGTCCCCTTCCAGAAAATCTCCCACGACGTTAGCCCGCAAGTCTACGAATCTCGAGAAACGCAGCTCCGCATCCGGCTCTGGGAGCTGGGCCTGATACACGAGGCCGTGCTTTCCATGGATGGCGGCAAGGGCTTTGCCAACTGGAACCGGTCGACGCCGAGCCTGGATCGGTTCGTGGGGCGGCTCGACGTTCGGGAGCCAGGGCGCATCATCTTTGGCGGGCATAGCTTCGGTGCGACGACGACGGTGCAGTTTCTAAAGAGCGTCTACTACGCTGCGAGGCCCGAGGTGCATGCCATGTCGAAGCCGCTGTTTAAGCCCGCCACAGACAGCAGCATCCGCACGCAGGTGACGGAAAGGACGGTCACGATGCTCTTGGACATGTGGTGCATGCCCCTGATGGCTCCAAACTCGGCACCGCTCTTCAAACTGCCGCTTCCCGCGTATGCCGATGTGCCGACGGCCCCCGGTGGAAGTGCCCTCCTGGCGGTCGAGTCTGAAGCCTTTTACAAATGGACCGAGCATCTGCACCTCAAGGCCCGGCTACTGTCTCCCGACCCTTCGGCCAAGATTGTCACGCCGCACATGTACGAGAGGCCCGGCGGCGTGAAGCTGCCCGAACCCAACTTCTTCTACGTGATAAACTCGGCGCACCTGAGCCAGTCGGATTTTGGCATCCTCTTCCCCTGGCTGACCAAGAAGATATTTGACGCAGACCAGCCCGAGCGGGTGCTGCGGCTGAACCTCCGGGCTCAACTGCAACTCTTGCGGACAAACGGCGTTGCAGTGGCGCGAACGAGCGCAGGCGATTTGGTCGACGGCGGCCACGTCGAGAAGCTCGACTCTGACGATAGCGACGACGGCGGCGGGCTCAAGGGCGGTGTAAACAACGACGAGGCCATCTTTGACCGAAGCGGCCGCGATGTCGTGGGACATTGGAAGTGGGTCGATGCCGTCGGGTTGGGAGACGCAGGCGAGGCCGACACGGGCAAGTCGGCCAGCGAGCAGGTCGAGGAGGGCGAAGACAGGATGAAGGGCGAACTTGAGCCCAGCGAGCAAAGACCGGCATCTCACACGATGCGGAAGATGAGTGCTGCCGCTGCCGTCTCGACGCCGTCATAGAGGAAGCACGATTGCCCACGGGTAGCTGGAGAAGAAATGGACGAGTTTCAGCGACGACGATACGAGATTCACGGACAAGGGGCGACAAGCCCCCCTGGTTTCTCGGGGTACATGCAGCAGGGGTTTTGCTGCTGGAGTTTGCCCTTGGTCATCCTGGGCGTCTTGAGTCGTGAATTCTGGCAAAGGCAAAGATAGAGCCGGGAGCAGCGATGCATACCTGTTGTCAATAGAATACTAGCATGCCTCGGAAATCGGTTCACTAATTATTCCGTCAACAAACACGGCTGAGCGGGGGGCGTCGGTCCTATTGGAGCAAGTATGACTCTTTGGGCACCACCATTGATCAGCCTGCAGATCTGCAAGGCAGCCACTGGCATCTTCACGGCTGTGAGTGTGACCACACTTTGCTGCCTGGTACTCCATCCATCTCGCTCGCTTGGGCCAACGACAGGCTGGAAGCCGTCCACGGCCCGCGCCGGCTCCGCTGCACGATGGATCCCCGGGCGCTTGCCAAGGCAGACAAGCCAACGTGAACACGCGGCGGAGGTGAAGAGACGGACACGGCCGGCGCAAGAGCTGCAAAAAGCAACCCCGGTCGAGAAACGGTGGAGCCGCCGCGCCTTGGTTGGCGGCGGCCGGCGAGAGGGCCTGAACAGCAACGGCCAGGCAGAAAGATAGGCAGGCAGGCAGGCAGCCGAGGCAGACTTGTGTGGACTGCGAGTGTGAGTAACACGGGAGGGATCCAAAGGCGGCCAAGTGGCAAAAGCGTTGAATGTATGGGTCAGAGGGAGATCTGCAGCTGCTGACTCGTAGTTGGGGGCCAGGCCAAGCGCAGCCATGGCTATAAGAGCGGGAGGACTAGACCATTTGCGTTGGACTTTTGCTTCTCCTTTCAGTCTCTCAACATCGCCATCCTCTGCAGCTTCTCGTCTGCTCTCGACTACTGCTTTTCCCCTCGGCGGCGGTCAATCGTATCAACCCACAAACGAGCTGCTGTTGACGCTGGGGAGCTCCTCTCTGCTGCGGCAGCACACCCCATGGGATGCATCATGTTGAACGAGGGCGATCAAGTCTCCAAGGTTGACGACGAGACGGCATCGGTTGTCGTCGTCACCCCTGAGGAGATTTCGGCGGCGGCGGCGGACAAGGAGAAGAACGTGGCCGTGGACAAGTCTGAAAGCAGTAAGTGTCTTCCTGCCTCTCACGGCGACGATACGTGTCCATGTGTGACAGGGCACCGAGAAACATGGCTGACTGACTGCCTGCGTCCAGGCGACGAGGCCGACGAGGAAAAGAAGGAGAAGAAGAAGAAGAAGCAGGTCGTGGGCATCGTTCCCGAGAGCAAGGACCTGTACGCCAAGTTTGACAAGCACGGCAACCGGTCATGGACGGAGAAGAAGCCCGATGACTTTGAGGAGGCGGCCGAGAACGAGGAGACGGAGAAGTACGCCGTCATTGTTCGCAAGCGTGAGTCTCGTCCAACCCATGATGCAACGGACTGTGTTTCTGACGACGAGGCCAACAGACAAGCTCAGGGACGCCGACTCGGCCCAGTCGCTCGCCATCGACAGCCTCATCATCCAGTCGCCGTACCTGAAGCGCCTCCTGGCCGACGTGCTCGATGGCTACCCGGGCATCCTGACGAACCTGGCACGCCTCAAGCTGTCGGCGCCCTTTGAGTGCTTCGTCCACCGCTGGGACAGATTCGAGGCCGCGCGCAACGACACGTCGCTCGAGGCGCCGGCCAAGGCGCACGTCGAGTTGCTGCATGCCATCATGCGCCAGGAGCTGGGCCACGTCATCCAGCTGCGCGACGACTACCTCAAGAACAGGGCCGTGACCTTTGAGCACGCCTGGACCCTCTTCCCTCCCGGCTGCCTCGTCGTCGGCCACAAGCAGGGTAAGCCCGTCGCCGCCCGCTTCAGCCGCGGCCACTACGCGAGCACGAACTGCGGCGAGGTCTACGTGCTCGAGTGCCGCATCATCGACTGGGACGGCAGCATCATGGGCTGGTCGGACCTGACCCTGCAGATTCGCAGCTTTGCCGGCACCATGCCCTTTGCCTCGCTGCCCTGCTACCCGCTCGACCATCACCACGACGCTGCGGGCTTCAGGGCCGCCCTGACGGACCGTGGCCGGCGCTTCGAGAGCCTCGCTGGCTTCTTCTACCGCGGCTACAGCAGCGTGGCCCTGTATTACCAGGAGGAGGGGGCGCCGCGGCGCGAGACGGTGCAGTCGCGCATCGTCATCGACGGCGCCAACTGGGAGAAGGAAAACCACGCCCGCCAGCTCTGGCTGACGCCCTTGCATAAAGAAGACGTCGCCAGAGACCGCAGACGACGGAGGCTCCGCCGATGCGGGAGCTTCTCGAGCTTCAGCTCCGACGACGCCAGCGTCGACGGCGACGACAGCGGCGACGAGAAGGGCCGAGGCAAGAGGCTGCCCCTGACGGAGGAGCAGCTCCTCTTGACGAGCCCCATTGTGCGCGGGTATGCGCTGCAAAACAAGCGGTGGATGGAGTTCTACGTCGACGACGTGGCGGCGGTGCAGTTTGACGAGGACGCCTTCAGCTCGCTGGTGATGCCGGCGGACAAGAAGGATCTGATCCTCGCGTTTGCGCAGAGCCAGGCGCGCTACAAGGACGCCTTCGACGACGTCATCTCGGGCAAGGGCAAGGGCATCATAGTGCTGCTCTCGGGCGGGCCGGGCATCGGCAAGACGCTGACGGCCGAGTCGGTGGCCGAGGAGATGCGCGTGCCGCTCTTCGCCATGAGCGCCGGCGACCTGGGCAGCTCGGCGTACGAGGTGGAGCAGAGCCTGGGCAAGATCCTGGCCCTCGTGGCCAGCTGGAACGCGGTGCTGCTGCTCGACGAGTGCGACGTCTTCCTCGAGGAGCGTTCGGTCCACGACATGGAGCGCAACCGCATCGTGGCCATCTTCCTGCGCACCCTCGAGTACTACCAGGGAATCCTGTTCCTGACGACCAACCGCGTGCGCAACATGGACCCGGCCTTCCAGAGCCGCATCCACGTCTCGCTGCAGTACCCGCCGCTCGACGCCGCCGCCCGCGCCGCCGTCTGGCGATCCTTTCTCGGCCGCACCGTCGGGCTCGGCGACACGGGCCTACGCGGGCACGACGCCCACGACGTGTCCGACGCCGAGGTCGACGCCCTCAGCGCCCTCGACCTCAACGGCCGCGTCATCAAGAACATCCTCAAGGCGGCCAATCTGCTGGCCTGCCACCGCGGCGAGAAGCTGGCCATGGGCCATCTGCAGACGGTCCTGCGCGTCGAGGGCCACTCCCTGTGACGGGGATGATGATGGTGGAGTTGGTGGCTCTCGACTCGACCTGGTTTGTTTCCGAGCTGGACGGAGCTTGCGCATTGCAAATTCGAGACTTTTATCCGCCGCGTGTCTGACGGCTTTTGGAACGATTATTTAACGGCCTGAGTGTTGGCTATAGCTTTACGTTCTTTCCTTTCGTGTCGTTGTAAAGAGAGTCTACGCTTGGAAGACGTGAATGCCGTCATGAGATGCAAATCGAGCAACGACAGGATCTGCGACAGAGTTGATACCTTCGGCTGCCATTTAGAAGAAATATATACCTATGTCCTTGGCCTTGATACATACTAATAACTACATAAAACGACAGCTTCGATTTTGATCCCATAGCAGCTGTGCCAGCAGAGGTAGGCCGCGTAGCCGGCAGAGGCGCGGCGTGTCTTGGGCAGCCAGAGATTTGCTTTGCCTCTGGTAACGGTTCACGTTGGTATACAGCTTTGTAGAGTAATGAAGTGGTGATCACGATGTTCTTTTGGCGGTCTCTTCGTCTCACAGCCCCATTGCACGTGTATAGCTATTGCTTGATATTTGCTAGTTACTAGCTCGGAAGATGCCAGTCCAACAGACATCTCCTCTACCAACCTACAAGGCAATCCGGACATCCCTGATCCTGTTTTGAGACAGGTCCTTGATGTGGCGAAAGACGTCTTCGATTGGCGTTACCAGCGCGTACGAGCCTTTCGCAGTCTGTTGAGGGTTGCCTCCACTAAAAACAACGCCCACGACTTGGCCATGCTCGTTGAAAACGACCGCGCCGGAGTCGCCAGGAGTTGCAAACGGCCCCATACCATCGGTGCCAAGAAAGCTGTGTTCGTACGACGGGCTTGGAGAGAGGTGGCGATCATGGTCCATGAATATGACGCTGCGGTACTCGTTGTAGACGCCAACCGTCACTCCCGAGACGGCTCCAATCTTGTACGCGGTTTGGCCGCTCTTCCAGGTGTTCAGCGCTTCTGCTGCTGTCGCCTGACGCAGCGGCTTGCCATGCAGCGTGAAAGGGTTCGTGCTGGCGTCTACGCCGGACCATGCTTGCATCCAGAAGTCCCGGGCGGGTAGCTGATTGCTCGCTTGACGGCTTGCCTCCACCTCAACCAAGGCCCAGTCCAGTCTTCTTGGCCTGGTGACACCGGTGGTCCGAGCCGCCAGACCAGACCCCGCCCACGGCTCGCCAAGATGGTGGTGGCCGCCGTCGAAAAAAGCCAAATGCTGGCGACGAAGCTGGGTCCGCTCATGGTGCAGCCCGGTGATGTCTTGGTCCCCTGGAGTGGCCTGCATGGAGTTGGCGAGATTCTTGATGACAGCATCGTTGGTGCTGACAGTGAAGTTGTGCCAAGATCGTGTCGGGTGCTCGATTGATAGGCCGCTTTGGGCGGGCCCAAACCCCTTTTCATCCCGCTTCCAGAGCGTGGAGCCAGGTGCCGGTGAATCAACCTTGCCTCTCGTGTCGCCAGGCTCCCCCCGGGATTCGGCTACCTTGACCTGGTATCCGTCAAACGCTGGACGCGTAACGTGGTAGTTGGTCAAGGCAAGCTTCTTCCACCCTGGTTCGCTCTCATCGACCCAATCGACCTCAAGATAGCAGCCCAGAGTTCCGGTGGGCGGATGGCATGTTTCCCCGTCGTCCCTCTGGAGGTAGGTGCTGACCGACAGGTCGGCGCCAACTTGGGCCGTTTTCGGGTATGATTGCTCAACTCTGAAGTGGTTGCCAGCACCTTTTCGCCATGGCGAATTCTTCTTGGGCGGCAAAAGCTGGAAGGCAAAAGGCTCAGGCCCGTCGCCATGCTCGATGAAGGCAACAAGCTTGTGAGGCCATTTGTCCAGCTCGTCCTGAATTCTGCCAAGTATCATCGGCCAGCTGTCTTCGAGGCAATCGTAGCTGACCGATATGTAAACGGTAATGGGGTTTGTGTCGGCAGGCAAAGCGTAACCGAAATGGAAAAGCGAGATGCTGGTTGCTCGATTCTGGGCTTCGGGAATGGACTCGAGCAAAGACGTAACCCTGTCGGAGATTTGTGGCCAGTCCTGGCTGAGCCTCTCGTTGCCTACAACGGGTGCCAGATACTTGACGGCGCAAAGCTCAGCGGCTAGCATTTCAACCGCAATGTCGACATGGCGCCAGGTTGGGTTGTTGGTCAGCCTGTCCACAAACTGCTTGAGCTGCGTCACGATCTTGGGCCACGACTCGAGTGAGGTGGGCGTCCACAAGGCAGTAACGAGCACGGTTGGCTGCTTGGTGTCGGGGTAGCCTTCGACATAGCGGTCGACTACCGATACGTCCGTCCAGCTGTCGCCAAGATCAACGCCATAGCTCTCGAGCAGTTTGTATGCTTCGTCTTGGATGGTGAGACCGAACTCGTGGTTGACAGGTCTCGAAATCTCATCGACTTTGGCCTCGAGAGGCAGTGGTCGCGCTGGCGGCGCGGCAACGCGAAACTTGCGGCAGCTGATGCCAAACGGCCCGCGCTCGCTGTCGGACGAGGAGTTGGCGTCGCGACGGCGAGAGCGCGCAGATGAGGCAACAGACTCGGGAGGGGTAGGCCAAGAGGGACGCTGCGGTTCCATGGTGCCCGGCTGCTTTGGAAGCTGGCAGACTTGTTGGAGGGAGAGGCGAAAAAAGGGGTGGAGGAAGAGGTGGAAAAAGGGGTTGGAGGAAGAGGTGGAGGAAGGGGTGGAGGAAGAGGAAGAGTGCAGGCAGGTGCTTATAGAGAGTTGGGGGCACGCCACTGATCTCTGATGAGATTCACTTGGAGTGATTCAATGACAAACCAGGATGAAAGCATTCGCGCAGAGCTTGACCAAGATGTGAAAAGAGTTCAAAAAAATGGGCCTTGCCGAAGTCCGCACAGCAAGGCTTGACGCCTGTTGAGGCGTAAGGGGGGGTGCTTGACTATGAACGAGCCCCGGCGGCGTCGTCCTCCAACGCAGGTTTAATTCTCATGGTTTCCCGTTCCTCGTGCGGATGGCGTGTAGGCGCAGCGGTAAGGTGCTTTTTGGTCGGTTGGTCAACTCTCAATAGAGTTCTGGAGATTTAGATTTTGGCGCACTCCACTGACTTCAGCCCAACGTGGCACTGCCAAAGATTCAAACTATTAGTCTTGCGGTTCGGCATGCGAGGCCTTACTTATAGGCAGGGAGATTAAAGACTTCTCTCTCTCCGCGAGGCGCTTACTCTATAGACAGCCAAGCGAAATTATTCTTTGGTAATATTCCTATACAACCACTACATGTTTTCCTTACCTTGGAGCTACTAGAGAATTGTCTCCTCCCTTAGGCAGTAGCTTGGCGCTTTATGGGGATACAACGGATGTCTGGCAGGCTCGGGGCTCCTCCGAGGCAGACAGACACCCCCAGGCAACACTGACGAAGTGCCTTCCTTGAGGGCATCAAAGCCCATTTGGTGAGATTTTGGAGCTAAAGGCAGTCGCCATAGCCCACCAAGGGCGAATCAAGCGACAATTCCAGCAGACAATCGAACGAAACGTCTACCAGGAAATCCAGCAAATAGGCAACTCCGTCCAGAACTTAGAAAGGCAATTCCAAAGATGGCAGGTTTTGGCAAATCATGCACCTCAGCCGGCACTTCCTTCTTGCCTCCGCAACAGGCCCATTATCACATCCCTTCTAAATCAATTTCAATTTCTAAATACAAGAAGCGCAAATTCGAGATAATAAATCTAATTTTAGAAACCAACTTCCATGTCCTCCTCGTTAGGCACCTTGTGCCCTCTACACACAATGCTCAGGTAATCGTCTTTCTCGCCCGCTTTACTCCTGAATACAGCCGGATCACCCGCGTACTTGAGCAGGATGGCATTCAAGGGGTCGCGCGATAGGCGGCTGTTACTGTCTCTGAAAGGACATATCATGATAAGATGGTGGTGGTAGCACGCCGTCAAGCTGTTTAGATCGATATTGTTCTCTGCCTCGGCCTTAATGACGTTTTCGTTAAGATGGGCCGCTATCTGGTCATGTAGCCTAACACAGCGTTTGCTCGCATGCAAACACTTCTCTTTTTCCTCTCGCTAGGCTTGCTGTAGCATACGGCTACTTTATCGTTACGATTAGCTGCCCGGCTTGACGTCTTCGTCGAGGCTCTTCAGCAGATTGCAATGTGTTCGGAGAATCACATCATCAGGCAGTGGCCTAGCACCACTCGACGGATCATATAGAAGCTCGTCGAGCAGCGGATATTTGAATAGGTGACAAGAGCAGTATTCCAGCAGCAGATGCCCTGCATTTTGCCAGCCGCCAGCGGGAGGCTCTGTGAGTCAATGGAGCATTACCCATCGCACGCCCCATAGGCGCTGAATCAAAGCCCAAACCCACTTAGCGCAGTTCCTGAACGCCCATTCCTGGCAGTGTCCAGCCAATGAGACTCAACCGTAGTACCTTAAAAGAGGCGAAAGTGCATATAGGAGAATAGAGGCGTGTGTCTAGCAGTGCCTAACTTAACTCGAAGCAAGACGATCGTAAACAAGATACCGTCGCCCTTGTTGCCGTCTAAGCTGTCCGCTGGCTTGATTCGGGCGCATTTCACTCTCGTTGATGCATGCTGCACGCCATTGCAGAGAAATAACTCATATCTGGAGACACGGACATAGTTCCTTCGCTTGACTTTGGCGGTCCAGTGCAAAGGACGTTGTCCCGCAGATGACGTGCGAACACCCCATGGAGCCGTGATTATCTGAAATTATGATACTTCTTGATATAAGGGCTGATACTTGGTAGCAGCAGAGAACTCCAGCTTCGGCATTGCAAATGCAATGATGTACATTGTCAAGCAAATATAATTATGCCACTGCCTGCAAGCAGTACCGACTGGAGCTTGTATTCGGTTCCCATCGGCCCCTCTGCTCGAGGTAGATGAGCCGCTCATTGCCTGACTCACTACACGCTGGGGGCTTCTACCCGATCGTTGTCATCCATCCTGTCCATGCCACCCATCTTTCGACACCTACTCAAGGTATGATAATGCAGCGTGGTAACAAGATCCGACAAGGGGAATTAAGAGCTGGAAGCGTTCAGCTAAGAGCTGTCGCGTCAAGAAACATTTTTCGGAGCTTAGATGCTTCGAATCTCTCTACAAGCAAGTTGTCAAGACTGGCCACTGGGTACGGTCGTGGCGTTTCTGCCCGTTTCCACAGTCATTATTCATTCTGCGAAAAAGCCAGGGGATCATGCGGCTCGGAAGAAATGTTGGGATCCTTGGGAGTTTGACCCATCGGCGCGTCTTAAATGTTGACTGTACGCATCTCCTATTATACCTGCACTGAAAAATATAAGTACAAGCAAATCGGCGCTTGAGTCTTCCTGCCCGACACCCTTCTCCGTCAGTGACAATCTTGAGGTAACAAGCATCTTTGTGAACGTTCATAACAAGGTATCAACATGAAGGTCAGTATTGAATATCACGCACAACGGTGAACGCAGGCATCTGACATATTGGTTCAAGGTCTCTACTGTCTACGTCGCCATCTTCGGCGCTGCTACAGCAATGGCTCGATCGCCGCCTGTTTACGTTAATGGGGCTGGGTCGGGACCTCATGGACACGACGGTGAGCTGGAGCACACGGCCACGATGGCGAGCCGGGACCTCACGGACATGAGGGTGAACCGGGATCTCACGGACATGACGGTGGACTGGGGCCACACGGCAACGAGAGCCGCCCAAGGCCGCATCACCACAGCGGTGCCCCAGGACCGCACGACCACGATGGCGAGGGTGCCTCGGGACCACATCACCACGAGGGTGCCTCGGGACCACATCACCACGAGGGTGCCTCGGGACCACATCACCACGAGGGTGCCCCGGGGCCGCACGGCCATGAGGGTGCTCCGGGACCGCGCGGCCACGAAGGTGCCCCTGGACCGCACCACCACGAGGGCGGAATTCTCACATAAACAAGATGAAGCCCACATCCCTTCTCACAGTCGCTGCTTGCCTCCAAAGCTTGACGCTGGCCGCACCACTGGAAGCCGAAGATGCGGTAGAGAAAGACAGCATCTTCAAGCAAATCCACGACCAGGCTCACTGCATCCTTCCCGTGCTCAAGGCTTCACTCACCCGGAAAATCCTCTCGGCTGGACGAAACACTGCCGGTGGTATAAACTCACTCACGGCGCTGTAGATGGGAAGGGAAGGAAGCATGATTGGTGGGAAAATCGGCATGGTCTAAAGATGTACGGGCGAACGGGCGGCTCTCCCTGTTTGCCTCTAATGGTTCCACTTTGAGGCCTTGCAGAAGCAAACGTGATGAGGAATTAGGTGCGACGAGGCGACGATATGTTATCGCGAGGGAAGATATATCAACAATGACTCCACGAACATCGTGGTCAGATAAGACCCTTAAAGTTCTACAGTCAGCCGACATATCGCCTAAATCCCGTCCCGTTGGCGGCCGAAGTAGCCCAGACCTGGGGGTTCAATGACTGGCATAAGCCGCTGTTAGTATTATTAATGTGCCCGCTGCTCTCGGTGACAATTCCAAGGCTATTTCTGTTTGACTGGGTTGTATTTTTCACCTTCCGCCGAGGCCATTATGCTCGTTGCTTGTATGCTTTCTACAGCCCGCTCGTCTCTATACGTCTTGTCCGCTTCGACGCAGCACCTCAAAGAGTACCAGCGCGCAGTTACGGAGGTTGATATGGCGCATTTGAGGGCTTCAAGCAAAGTTCAGTCATGTTCTGCCCCCCCCAACCCCCCGCCGATGTAGCTATCCGACCCTCTTTCATATGCTGCTGGACATTTAACGACAGTCTCCCGCACCCGCTTATCAACCATGGCAAGTGCTCAAGCATAGATAGTTGCGTTATAAGATCCCTATCCAGGCAGGTAGGCAGACAGCGAGCAGCCGACCCCGCCTTAAAGCCGTCAGATCCTCGGCATTCTCAGCTAGTCATCAAATGCCGCCTAGCCATCGGCAACCAAGAATTCTAGCGGAAGCGGGTAGAGTGACAGTACTCACAAACCTCATCTAATTACACCTGTGGGGACGAGTTAAGTGCTAATATAGCTATACCAGAAGAAACGACGGAAAGAATGCGAAGTCTGTCAGAAGATCATTTCGACATTGCGCCTCGAGAAAGGCATCGGGATAGATACGATAGACATTGGGACGTTAAAAGAGGTGCTTCATGACACGGACTGCCAGGCACACAAAGCCATTGTGATATCAACTTTGGAGGCCATCGGAAGAAAGGACACTGACCAACCTCTGGGCCTAATGGGCCCTCCACGCAAAGGGTTATTCTTCCTCGATAAACCCTGGACGATTGGACCCGGTCTGCACCTTCTCCAACGACCTCCCCCTCCCCCCAATTACCTGGGCGAAGGCGGAGGAGTCATCAATGGAAGATGGATCGACCGGAACCTCCCCTTTAGGTGGAAGGTGCGCTGCGCGACGAAGCACCGCTCAGGGATGTGCCAAAGGCAGTTTCCAGACCAGAGGGTTGCATCCGCACGACCCGAATGGCTGATTGATGTGTGGCAGAGGTGTCTTGTGCGAGCCACCGAGTCGATGCCGTATGTTGCTCTCAGCGATGTCTGGGGCGGCGTCAAGTCCTTGAACTGTCTCCGGTGCAATGTCCACGAGTTGCAGATTCCCTCGATCCTGTCCGTCGAAAGCAAGGGCGTTGTTCTTCCTAAGACCATCCGCGACGCCATGGGGCTCGTCGAGCTTCTACGAGAGAGATATCTGTGGGTGGACTCGCTGTGCATCGTCCAGGACGGGCCGGGTAAGCAGCTCGAGCTGGCCAAAATGTCCGCTATATTTGCCAACGCCATGGTCACTGTCGTCGCCGCGGACGGCTTCGACGCCAATCACGGACTCCAAGGCCTGCCCGGCATCTCCACGCCCCGCTGCATTCGACAGAAAGTCTTCCGGCTTGGCCGCGGGATGTACGTCTTGGAGGACGACGATGCGCCCAGCGTCGGAGCCAACGATGGATCCGTGTGGGCTACTCGGGGCTGGACATTCCAAGAACAGCTTTTCTCGCGCAGGAAACTTTGCTTCGAGAGGGGACAGGTAGTATGGCGCTGTACAGACGCCTGTTGGAGCGAGGCCGAAGAATCGACGGGTGCTCGTCAAACCGGGATTGATAAGGACCAGCAGGACAGAGCCTTGTTCCTTCAGGATGGTCCAAACATCTGGCCACTGGTGCGTATCCTAGACCAGTACAACCAGAGGACCTTCACGTATCCTGAGGATTGTCTGCGCGCCTTCGACGGTATTGCCTACGCCCTGGAATCGTCTTATGAGGGGGGGTTCGTTTCGGGCCTCCCAGTCACATTCTTCGGCATCGCTCTACTTTGGCGGCCCAGGAAGCAAGCTGTCCGTCGAGTGGCCGCCAACAAAAAAGCATCCGACGAGAATTCCCTGCCGTCTCGGAGCTACGCTGGTTGGAAAGGGGGCCTAAACTTCACCAACTGGAGCAGCGTTATGGACTTGATTAAACACAAGCCATCTGCTGTCATCCCCGGCGCGGTGGACTGTCATGTCTTCCCCACGGTCGCCTGGGCCTTCCGCAGAAGACCTGGCGACGAAGCAACGCCAATGCGCGAGTCGTGGCAGGAACAGAGAGTCAGATACTCCAAGGGAGAAGACATGAGGTCCTGCCCGCCTGGATGGACCCGGCACGACATGTCGGACTTCCCGTATCGCAAGGGAAGAGATGAGTACCGGCCGCCAAGTGCGCCCACAGCACCTCGATGGGTTTTCAAGCACGCGTCGGACACGGACAGCGAGTTCTGGTACCCCATTCCTATACCCGCGAACAAGTCGCCAGAGTCAGAGCAGAGGCCGTTATCTGTGAGCGTCCCGTTTATCTCGAGCAGGGTTAGGCGAGCTTGGGCCGTCGGAGGGGAGAGGTGCAAGGCGCCAGATCCGACAATATATCTCCGGGACGCGTTGGGACGGTGGATCGGGGCTTTGCAGCTTCACAACGATGATGGTGCATGGAAGCCGGGCGATAGTAGCGCCCGCAAATGGCTGGAACTGGTCGAAATTTCCCGCGGCCAGCACCCCGAGAAGTTTCCCGACCCGAGTTTCGAGCCGCCGAAGGAGGGTCGTGAGGCGCGACCGAGAAGTAGTACCGACGGCTACGTCAAGTTTTACTTCGTCCTGTGGATCGAATGGGTGGGTGGCATCGCCTACCGCAGGGGACTGGGGCATGTCGACAAGGAATCGTGGGAGGCTCTGGGTTTGGAGACGATTGATTTGTTGCTTGGGTAAATATAGACGGGGGAGTTGAACGGTATCTGTATGATCCAATAATGGTAGGGTCAACTCCAGGCTCCTCCTCATTCATCCAGAGACATCCAAGGACGGTGATCTCAAACCGTAGCCCAGCGTACTTCTCGTTGATGTTGAATTTTTCGAAAGCGGTCGCTTTAAAGCCGGTCAAATTTCCTTGACTCCATGAGAGACCTCAGAGAGCAAACAACAAGACAACTCGGCAGATTAGGCTGCTACTGGAAGCTTGCGTTCTAGTTTATCTCTCGGAGATTAGCAATGTACTAATTAATCCTATCTGGATTTGAATGGATCATTGGACGAGTTCTATGATTAGTTTGCCTATAGACCGACGGTGGAGAACGGGCTGGACACAGTCACATACCCCTTTCAACACGCAGTACCTGGATCCTGCAGACGACGGGCAAATCCCTCATTGACTGGGAACCCACGTGACGGGAGCCTGCCTGCATCGCGCCTCCTGGTCTGGCTTCTCGCATCAGAGTTTTCCCACGGCGTAAGTTGTCAGTCGTATGGTTTGGATCATATTCCAGGCGCAACGATGCCAACGCTGCAGAACATGCCTACCGTGGCAATGTGCGAAGCTTGCAGCGGACTATTCACTGCCCTCGACAAGGCCAGTGGCAAGAGCATCAGAGAGCAGATTCGGCAGACCGGTGGCTACCGTTATCACCGGACTCGGCGCGAGTTAGAGCGAGGCGCAAAACTCGGGTGCCCCTTCTGCAGCACGATTGCTTCCCACGACGTACGCTACCGTTCACCTGGTCAAGATCAAAGCCATGTTCTTCAACTACTATGTGGCGAGGACAAGCGGCCGCATTGGTATCCTCCCGAAGACGCGGAAGTCGTGGTTGAGGCTAGTTTTGACATAGACCGTGGGGTTTTGGCTTTCTGTGGCCGCAACGGACTTGAGCTGGCCACCGAGCAGTTCATCAGAACCTCGTCCGTGCATTGGAAACTATACGCGCCCGCCGGTGAGCGTTATCAAGCCACGTGAATGAAATGCTCTGGCTTAAAAATTGTGATAGGTGACCCAGTATCTGCCATCATCCCCCAGACGGCCGTCCTTACCAACTTTGCTTCCCCTCAGAGTTTTATACCTTTCTGCCAGTATTTACACGAGTGTCTCGCAAGCCACCAAGAATGCCTGGGCGTCACACCCGTCGAGTTGCCGACGCGACTGATCGAGCTATCCCTCCTGGGTGAGCCCGAAACCGCGCTCCTGCAGCAAACGCAGGGAGTAACCGGTGTTTACTGCGCTCTAAGCTACTGTTGGGGTGGACCCCAGCCCTTCGCCACCACGAGCAAGCAGTACGACAAATATCAACAATGTCTGCCGCCATCAATCGTTCCACGAACAATACGCGATGCCTTTCAAGTAGCTCGGAATATGGGTATACGGTATATATGGGTTGACTCGTTCTGCATTATTCAAGATAGCCAGGATGATGTGCGAAGCGAAATGACCAAGATGCTCGATATGTATACCAGGGCCCAGTTCACAGTCTCAGCTGCCAGTGCATCGAGCTGCAATCAAGGCTTCCTGGGCAGATTCCCAGACGCCGCTACTGACCTCTTCAAGCTCCCCGTACATGTTGGCAAGGACATCATGGGCTCGGCCTTGATCTCAAAGACTTGCTGGCCTACGGTTGGAGGACGTCTACAACCCATCAACAAGCGAGCGTGGACGTTCCAGGAGTCACTACTTGCTCAACGCCTCCTCATTTTCACAGAAATGAACATGCTTCTGAAGTGCAATCGAGGCTTTCATTCTGATCCTGCCATAGATATCAACTAGCAGGGTTGGTCGACTTCTTGTGGGTATCAGTTCTTGCTACCCAAACCAATCAAAAACCCGACTTCACGCGACCAGCCCCCGCCACCTCATGGACTTCCTTTCAACTCGGCACAAGCACCGTTATGGCGAGCTTGGCACACTGCTGTGCAGTCTTATTCTGGCCGGAGCCTTACCTTTGCAGTGGACAAGCTGTCCGCTATTTCCTCCATTGCACGGCTCTTCGCATCGCAGCTGGGGGAAGAGTATCTGGCCGGGCTATAGAAGGATTATCTTATCTATGATCTCATGTGGATAGTGAATCCTTGCGAACGGCCGAAAGTACACGAGCTAACGTTAGGAAGTCCATCATGGTCTTGGACAGGACGCACATTACTTCAGCAGACATCTTGGATGTAGCACGACCCTTGTCTCTCATGGAGATCCCTTCGGACCTGTCATTTCCGGGAGGCTTGTTCTAAAGGGATATTTGAAGGAGGTGTGTGTGAACACAGATGGAGCAACATTATCCGATGTCACCGGCAAACGACTCGTCAATCTATGGTTCGAAAGCGACGTGGGGCAGGGACGCTGGGCTCTTTCTGCTCGTCAAGAGGAATGCGCTCGAGTCTGGTGTCAAGCACTGGGAGGTACGCGGTTTAAAAGCGAAGGTGTTACGATATATGATGCAATGGTGATTGTCGAGAGTGAGCGCTATCCTGGTTGTTATCAACGAGTTAGATATGCTAGGGGTCGCTTCCCTGACATGAACCCAGTGTTTAAATGGGACGACTGTGACCGAGCGACTGTGACGATCGTTTGACAGGCGTGAGTGCTCTGGCAGAATAGCCGTGTCATACGACGGATCAGGACATCTATAGCCTACCTATTTTATATAATCCCAATTGGTTTATATATGCCCGCCGTTATATATAGATAGCCGACCCCTCCATCAAGGGATGGTACCGTAATCAACACTCAGTCTCTCCACGTATGGTCTATATAGCCAGCAATATGAATGACTATCAAGAGCTGCTGTTCACTCACACTCATCCTCGAAACGCTCGTTGCCCTTTATGGCACCGAGTTTTGCACCACCTATTGCAGCATGCAATATGATTCTTAAGCGTGGTATTTGTTGACGTGCTCGACACCGTTAGGCTCGAATGCTAGAATGCCGAGCACGGTTCTGTGCCGCGTGATAACAATAAACGAGTTTACTAGGATAAGGCAAACAATGCACTCTAGTAGGCGAACGTAAGCGAGTAGACTAAGAGAAAGGGATTATACAACTTCTTAAGCTGCTATTAGGAGAAATAAGTATTATCTATTTACGAATAGCATAGGAGCACATAAGCATTCGAACGATTTTATTGCGTCCAGAGGGTCTTGTAGGATATAGCCATAGTACATATGGAGTTAGAGGAACAGCTATAGTAGACTAACTATACATACGCATTGAATGTCAACACATTTAATGTCGTCTAATATGCTACAATTTAGTTCCACCTCCTACATTGTGACAATAATCATGTCGAATCACTTAAGTATGTCCCTATTCCACGCACCATTGTCGAGACGTCGTGTCTAGGGCACCGCCTTTTAAGACACCAATAGGTCCGCAAAGACCACATCCACTATCTTGGAAAAACACAGGTGCTTGATGAGGCCTAGGCCCGGCGAGTTGCTAAGCGTTGGCTGACCCGCCTCGAAGCCTACACCAACCACGAGCACACGAGATGTAATATGTGCTAAGAAGCTGCGTCGAGGCCGTCGGTTCGTCAGTTTCTCAACGACCTGCGCGGCAATCTTGGCGGGTCAACGAGACATGGCCTAGCTAGAGCCTAGCAGCACTAAGGAGAGGAAATAAGCTGTTAATAGAAGGTAATAAGGGTTGACTGGGATGCTATGGTCACCAACATTATGTAAAGGGCAAGTTATTAGAAGGCTTTAGTCGGAGCAGCGGCGCAAACTTCGTACGGGTCGATGCCATAGGGGGTGTATGCATCGACTATCTCGTTGGCGTACGCAATGCACATTATTCGGTGGCAGTTCTCGTATAGCTTTACCATTTCCGCCACTTCTGGCTTCGATACCGCGACAATCCGGTCGAAGGCTGCAGAGTAGAGCCTTGTGGTGCTAGCCGGGTGTGATTTCGTCTAAGCCTGACACTACCCTGAGGACGAAAGGGGCCCGAGGCTCGACACGACCCGGTCGACGCGCCGTTGGACACGGATCACCATTGCCGCGAGTTTCTAGTATAACTTTTTTCTTTTAGTATAACGAAATAAATTCACGGAAGTTGCTTCGTAGTAAAGACAAGAACCCGCTAATAGTCGGTCGAGCTTAAACTCCAGTAGAGAACTCCATACAACGACCAACGCTCTCTCCCTATATAGAACCAGCTTATATAGCCTCACTTCAGTCATCGCCAGCAACTACCACCAATAACAGTATTAAAACCCAAATTCATTACCGAAAATCAAAGCGCGAGTTTTGAAAACCATCAGGTGCATTGGGATTGCCATCGACTCCACCACCATTCGGGGTGTTGCCGGCACCGAATAAATCATCATCGAATTGAGGTTGTCGGCGGGAAATCGTTTTGCTGTCTGCAATTGGACCGGCAGTGGCCAGTCCAACAAGGACAATAAGTAGGGTGCTCGAAACCATCATATTGGCGGTAAGACGTTTAGCAAGGAGTTGAAAATGCTTGTAATGGGATAGATGGGATAGGAAGTTTTGAAGAAAGTGTACCGGAGGCTCTTATGTACTGCTAACATCAGCCATTGCGGTTGAATTCGACGGTTTATATAGCTTTTGAATTTTTGAAAATACACCAGCCAGGAGACTACTCTTTCATGGGATTCTTGTCTCTAAGACGGTCTCACAGTCTGCGGCACTCGTGTAGCAAGATCTTCGGTGGACCCATTATCCTTAATACGCCCGCGAATTCATGCTTATGCATTATATTCCTGCGAGGTCGTGAATTACGATACTAAGTCTCTCTAAAACCAGCCGACAACGATATCCGAAGGTGGTCTGCGTCTCTGCTAAGCGTCGAAGTCTAATTGCTGTGGATAGACTTCGGATAATGGTTCGCTCCGAGGCGGATTGTCTCGGCTGCGGACCATCATTTACCAAGCACCGCGCCTCTATTATGACGGCGCGTAACTCGGCACAACTTCCTCCTTGCAACATTATCACAATGACCAAACCCGTCGAGTGGCCGCCATGACGCCAGCAACGCCGCCAGCCAACCCTGCTCTGTCCATCTATCAGCTTGCCCGAATTCACTGCAGAGAACGGCTCCTCGTCTCCCCCTTATACTAGACCAACCGGCAGCTCGAGTTGTTGCAATGCTCCTTTGACGATGCTTGTCCCGCGCCGCCGACAACGAGAACGGATTTCACCGGCGAGCGCAATAGTGCTCGATATATTGCAGAACTTTTCACAGGTAGCCAAATGGTTAGCCGTGAAAGTAGTCTACAGATAATTCTCGCAGACTTAGATTGTCTACTTCTTAATAGGTCTATCCCCCCCCCAATTCAGCATTTGCAAGCCTCTTTCTAACTACGTCTACTTTTTATAGAAGAGATCTTTGCTTCTACTTTAACGGGAACCAACGCAAAATCCTCAGTTGCATCTCGCTCTTTCTCCGCGATAAGCCCGACGCACCCCCCATCGCCGCATATATCGACCAGGTGCATCTTGAGCTTATGCGCTCTGACGCACTGGCGCCAGATATATTCTCGCGACGACCGGGTCGATTGATTGCCCGCGCCTTATATCGAAAAAGCTAAAGAGGATCACGCCTTTAGATCCCTTGCACGACCCCTATATCGTTGCGCTTCTAATAGCCATAGCGCAGCAACAGTATAAGCCGGCCTTGGACCGATTTGAGGATTACAGCGAAAGCTGCCCTCCTACATTTTTAGTAAAATACCCTTGCTTTCCTGTATAATAATATGCTAATAAAAGTCTATCTTACAGTCTAAGGTATTATTCTCGTCTCCAAAAAGCGAGAGCTTATACCTCTATACGGCCAATATATCCCCTTCGTTCCTCAACCTACTTGATGAACCCGCTGTTCCACCAGTGGCGCAGCCCTCCGTTTCGGTTCAGGTTACGGTTATTCGCTATAGGCCAGGCAAATCTCTCCGCGATCGTCTATTCGCTCTTCTTCTTCCGCCCCAAAATTATAGACAAGACGGGGAGCAGAAATCGGACGACAAAGGCACCCCACTGCGGCAGGAAGTAGAAGGGCTACTCAAATGCCACAGTTAACCACAGGGGTCCATATAGATGGCAGCTAGTGCATGTTTACACATCATGAATGGCTAACGGAACAAGCAGGCGACGTAACCGCCATCGCGGTAGCATCCTGTTTTCTGTGCATTTATGCTGTTGGCTGGGCCCCCTTTCAAGGCCTAAGAGGATCAGCCTGGCGCTCGGCTTCCTTGCCCTTGTCTGCGGAGGGTGCCACCACCCACATGAATAACGGCCTACATTCAGAGTTACTTGCGGTGATATATCACAATGCAAGGCAACAGTCGTATTTATATCTTCGGCCGAGTAGCATCGCTCGGGCCTTTTGCAATCTGTAGCTAAGGGTGCTACTCCTGAGCGCCGGCCATGCATCCTGGCTAGGCAGCAGCAGCAATTGCAGAACAAGACGGAGAGAATCGGCACGTGAGGTGGAAGCGGACCAATATGCAAGAAGCCCGAGAACCCAAACGCCAATCAGTCTCTGTCTTTGCGATGATAGTTATGTCGTTGGATGCATGACTCCCACGCAAGCAGAATCGCGCACTCTGCGGCCTTGCACCCTCCCGCATGTGGTTCTCATTCCAGGTAGTAGACAGAAGCAGGAGGCATAAATGATAAGTACTACCCTCAAGGCCAAGAAATCTTAAAACCGCCACGCTCCCTTCTTTACCTACATCAGCTTCTTCATCACCTGCGTTGCAGCACCACTCATCGTTATGGCTTACTACGATACCGTCAGATATCCAAGCACCCTCTCTAAGAAGGCCGAGAATTTCAATGCCCTTTACGAATCTGACGGATGGGAGAGCGCTGTCAGTCGTTGGGGTCGCAAGCACCTATTTCCAAGCCGAGTCATCTGCAGCGAGCCCAAAAGACGCCTCGCTCTTTTCCACAGCTTTTACCCAGACAACCTAGACAAGTTACACCCATGCATCAAGCGACCGATTTCAGGCCCGGGAGAACATGCAATTCTGGCCGAAATGTGGGAGCCTCAATGTGTCCAGCAGTATCAGCCGGACAGCCTGGGCTATACATGGGCAGCGCTGGCCTTCTTTGCGCGAGCTGAACAAGTCAAACCGTCCCCTGCCCTGTCCGAGCGGCCCAAGAGAGAAAGAAAGCCAGCTTCCCGGCCCGAGGAATTCGTCACGTTTACGAACATCCGGATAGGTAGCAGCTCACCAACCCAGCCAAGCTCAGGCGACGCATCTGATGCAAGCGCCGGGTTTACAAGCGAAGTTACGCCAACTCTTGTCGAAGATCTCACTATACGCCTGGCGAGCTGCTTTATTCGGTGTGTACTTAACTGGGCTCAACCACTTGCGGGTCCTTTGTTTCACTTTCGAGATCAAAGACAAACATATACCATCACCACGTCGCAATAGGCGCATATTAGGGCCATCGACGATGGCGGGGTGCAGCTATACGCTCGTGGGAAGATAAGACAAGTGGCTACGTTAGGAGCGAAGCGAACCTTCCAGAACGTAGATGACGGCGAGCCTAAGGTTTCCGATCAAGTACTGGCTCAAATGGTTGGCGAAGCTCTCGCATTAAGGCGAGACCAGAAAGCCTTGAAAATCTCAGATCACAGGTAGTTCCGCCAGGCAGGGGCGCTGCCGCGACCTCCTGCTTCTGGATGATCCAACTACATGTACTAAGACACATAACAGGAACAGGTTTATAACTATTCTTGCTATTACACACCACATCAAGTTCTTCTATTTCCGTATCACCGATGAATTTGTCGAAGAATACGAGACGGCCCCTATCACCTCCACGGGGCGCTGTCTACAGTAATAAGGTGTAAAAAGAGGGGGTTTTTAAGTAGATCTTCCGGAAAGAGACGATTCCTCGAAGAAACAATAATATAACGGGAACCGCCCTACCTACCTAGCTTATAAAAGAACCTACCGACTAGAAGACTACTAGTAGGTCTTCGAGGAACTTTAACCTTCTAGAATTTAGTCTCTTAGGAAGCTAGAAGGGATCGTTAAATAGTCCCTTAAGAGGGACCCTTCTTTATAGAAAAGGATAGACGAAATTCGGGTTACTAGGAAATAGCAACTAACGTAGCTACCCCTATTCGAGCCGTAAATTTAAGGAAAAATTGTTAGTATAGTAATTCTAGCCTTTATCTTCCCTATGGATTAACTAGGCCAAAACCAACCGTTAGAGCCCTCTAACTATCCTCTATAAAAATCAGCTATCCCTAATTCCGGTGCTTCCCTCGATATCTATAATACCCTCTTACGATTCTAATCCTTTAAGAAGGCACGGAGGGAATACCTTATTATAGGGGAATTAACCGTACGAATAGAGGAATATTCTCGCAAAGAGAGATGCGAGAAGTGTATATAAAATGCACGAAGGTAAAATTAGAAGTAAGGGGTCGGACAGGCAGGGCAAAGATGTTTGATTCTTACGGGGGCAGTAGTTACGGTAGGGGAGTGATTGTTGTATTGCCTTAATTGTCCTTCTTTCCTCTATCTAACGCTCCTCTTTATACCTATCTAGCATCTCTATTAACAAAGAAGATCTTGCTTAAAGAAGCTACTAATGTCCTCTTAACTACCGAGCTTTTTGCTGGGTTTCCCCCTCTTTTCTAGCCGTTGCCGGTATATCCGTCTTATCTCTCGCAACCTCTATAGGAAGCTATCGCTACTTCTACTTCCCCTTATACCCCTACCCTCCTTTCTATACCTCCTTTTAGCTCCTTCTTCCTTCTTCTATACTAGGTGTTTTTAGCTTCCTAGGTCCCTCTTACTAAGGGATATCTCCGAGAATGCGAATTAGGACACGCTTCGCGATATACCCCCTTAGCTATAGCCTGCCCCTTAAGGGTAAAGCTAAATAATTAGGCCGGTAAGCGTATAAAGGAGGTCTTAGTCTATACTTATCCCTTACTCGAGAAATCTAGGGTTTTGCCCCGGGCTCTTTTAGACCTACTTTAGGAAAAAGGGGCCTTAAGGAGGAATCGAGTTATATAAGAAAGGGGGTCTTCCTTTTTTAAGAAGATTAAGTCCTAATTAAGCTAGGGGCCCTCCTTTAGGATAAGTCCTATTTCCTTTCTTTAGCTATAGACGTCTCCTTCCTTATATATAGCGTTAGCTCCTCTCGTAAACTCTTAAGGCGGGCTTCTAAGGATAGCTTTTCTCGAACGTCTTCTAGCTTAATTTACTATAAAAAGATAGCTAGCTTCTACTTTAGTAGGGGCTTCGTAAGACCGTCGGCTTTTATCGTTACCGTTAGAACCTAACGGACGGAAATAAGTCCCTTTTAGACCTCTTAGCGTAACTAATACTAGTAGATATCGATATACTATAGCTAGGTCGATAGCTTACTATTTTCTATAAGAATTCGTATAGTCTATATATTATTATATTCTATAGCTAATAGGGACGGAATTTATAGTTATAAAGATATAAGTAGCCGGCTAAGGAAAATCGCTTCTTTTAACGCTTCTAAAAGAGCTAGTAGCTCTGCCTCTATACTTAACGTCGTAACGGTAGCTTACTTCGAAGCTTTCTATATAATAGTTCCTTTAAAGAGGGATATAATATACCCCTATAAGCTCTTTCTATCTAAGGAATTATCTATAAAGGACGAATCGCTCGAATAAAGGAAGATTTCGGTAGCTAGTTTCCTTCCCTACCCTCCTAGGCGCAGACTATATAATCTCGTTAAATAGAGATAAAGGATAGCTCTATCTACTACTTCTTAGTGCCTAGGGCTAGGATTCTAGTTATGCCTAGCTAGCTTAGAGATTATAAAAGAGATATCCGGTCTAGTAGAAATAGCTATAAAAAGGTAGGGAGCCTACCTTCTATTAATATAAGTATTTCTCTTTCTCCTTAGCTTAAAAGGACGGATTAGGTAAAAGCTCTTTATATAATATAGGCCTAGAGGGAAGCTTCTTATCGAGGGAATTAAGGAGGAATTTATAAGCGACCTTATCGATATAGGCGTCCTAGGTAAGCTAGATAGTCCGTTAGGACCTATTCTAAAGGATTTATATCCCTAGGAACCACTTTAGCTCCCCTAGCTTAGTTATCTTATACCTTTATTATAGGCCTTTTATAGCCTCCCTAGTAATTACTTCTTCCTCTTTTAGGTAGGCTTAGATAATATTATTAACGTAGAAGAAGACTATGATTTTACCCTTTTATATTATACACGGTTCCTAAGGGACTTTCTCGAAGCTTAGGGCTTTAAGGGAACTTATTAAATACTATTACTAAAGAAGGGGTAATCTTTATAGTCTATATAGAGCTTTCCTAAGCTATAGAACCTTTCCTAGCTATTAAAAGCCTAGTAGAAGGCGTATATAGATAACTTCTTCTTCTTCCTTAAGAGGGCAGTTAATAAAGGCGTTAAAGGTATCTATTTAATCGAGTTTAAGGTCGAATTCTACTACTATAGCTATAAGGGTCCGAAAAGGTATCCTTATTAGGGTAGTTACCCTACCCCTTTTCCCTACTTATTCTTATAAACGACTAGCCGGGCTTTATACTTTTAAAGGAAGCTATGTTTATTAGTCTTATAGATAAAGACCTACTTATAGCTAAGGACTTATTTTCCTCTTACTTTTTCCTTAAGGACCTCTTTAAAAGACCCTATCTCTTTATATAAGGCTAGGTAGTCTTTCTAGGCCTAGAAAAACTAGTTTTTAAAGGGGTGTTTTTCTAGCTACTTCTAGTTTACTAGTAGGTCTAAGAGGTCTCTTTTATATACCTTCCTTGCTAATAGCTATAGCTTAAAAGCCGGCCTACTATAAATGCTTTATAGGAACCGTCTTCTATAGGTATATAATAGAAGTCGGAAAAACAATCGAAATAAGGAAAAATTAGTCTTTTTTTATATCGGGCCCTATACCTTCCTTTACTTCTTAAAGTAGGGATAAAAAGGCAGCCGGATAATCCTTTAAGAGATATACCTTTCCTACCCCCTTAGGGGTTAAAATAGGAAGATTAATAGAAAAAGCTACTTCTAGATCTTCTTCTTATTCTATAAGAGGAGGCGTAGGAAGGTAGAGGTATTCTAGCTCTACCGCTTTCCTATAGTCTCCTTCTTCGTTTAGATTATCTAATCTAATAGCTTCCTCTTTTTCTTCTTCTTTAAAGTTAGCGTTATCCTTAACTACTTTAACGTTAGTTTCTTCTTCCGTTTCTTTATCTAAGACCTCTTCTTAAGACTATTAGGAAAGGGGGATTTAGATCTTTTAAATTAGCTAACGTTATAAGAGTAAGATATTACGACCCGACTAACGGTTAGTTATAAGCAGCCCTTAATAAGGCCGATATATAACGGAGGGGTATAGGATCCTATAAAGTTATATAATAGATTATTTAGATTACCTAGTAATCCTAACGATCCGGCTTATTAAATTACCTTAATAATCTAACGATCTATAAATAGGATTATTACGCCCGCTATATAATCTATAAAGGACTACTAAGTATATAAGGACACTTAATTCTACTTCTTTAGACTAAATAGCTCTTTAGCTTTTAATATATTATAATTATTACGATCTTTATTACGATCTTATCTTTAATTCCGATTACTTAATTACTTAGTTATAGTCTATAGTCTATAACCTCTAACTTATTACTAATATAATATACTTATTATTACTTAGACTACGCTTTATTATATCTACTAATATAAACCCCTTAATAGGTTTATCCCTTAAAAATAATACTAGTTATTATACGTTAAAAGCTCTTATTTAATATAATACTACGTTACTATAAGTAATATTATAACTATTAATATACCTATATAGTAAGCTAGATTAACTAGCTTTAGAGCTATTATATTGCCTTAGGATATAATACGCGAGATTATTACCCTTCGATATAAGGTATAGTTACTTAAGAATAAAGGAGGTAATAGATAAGTTAGGGACCTTAGAGAAGTAGTTAAACTAAAATAGCTAGTATTACGACCATAGCTACTAGGCCGCTAACGGTCGACCGCGTTAAGCACGTAATATAGTTTAACGGATAAATAGTCGGCATAACTATTTAATAGATATAGGATCGATAGGATCGTAGAGATCTAAGTAATCTAAGATTAATAGGATTACTACGCTCTATACGATCTAACGTTAGGGATTATAGCTAGGCCTATAATCTAAGGATAGTCTCTATAGGTATATATAGCTACCTACTTTCACTCCTTTAAATAGATAGCTTAATAGCTTTTAATATAAATCTTTATTACGATTTATCTCTAATTCTAATTACCTAATTATAGTCTATAGTCTATAACCTCCGACTTATTACTAACGTAATATACTTATTATTACTTAGACCACGCCCTAGTATATCTACTAATATAAACCCCTCGATAGGTTTATCCCTTAGGAATAACACTAGTTATT